CTTCATTTAGTCAGTGTAGTAATCCTTATGCTAATAGTCATCACAGCTTCCCAACGTTTTTGGAAGCTTTTTTGGGCCAGAGGTTAGTTGTGTAAAACTTGTGTTTATTCCAGCAGCTATCAAGGAATAAGACGTAGCAGTGTCACGCAGATGCCTATTCATTTATTTGTTATTATTGTTGTCCGTCTTGTTTTTAGAAAGTGTGTCAGGATGGATCCCTTGTCTTTTTATCTGGAACCTAAATCTACCTATGGGTATCAATAAACAACCTGAACATTTTAATTTATAAAATGACACCTCAAAGGGAAATGAGTTCAGAAATAAAAGGATGGTCTAATATGGTCGACCCCTTTTAAATACAAAGTGACTTACAATAACTGCAATCTACCATGAAGATACAATCTTAAAACAGCAGTAATCCTGTAAATGTATTACATTAAAAATACAAACAGACATTGTGAGTGCTTCATAACAGAAGGAGGAAGCTATTTTTTATTGATTTCATAATGAAAGAGACATATATTGTTTCTCATAATCACCTCTAAGACTGAAACAGAATAGAAACACACCTGTGAAACTACACCCTGTCACTATAGTGGTTTTTCAGGAAGTCCCAAACAAAGAGACAGAGGAGTGTTGGTTTCTATCTGAGTCTGTCCTCTCTATATCGATCCTGCTCTGTGTAATTCTTTGATGGCCGCTGCGACCCTCCCTCCTCTCAGATCCTAATTGTTTTCAAACGGCTTCACGTGGCTTCTCTCGTTGCATTAAAGCGAGCCGTGTGTCATCGTGTGTTTGTGAGCGAGGCCACATGTGGATCCACTTCTGTGTGTGTGTGTGTGTGTGTGTGTGTGTGTGTGTGTGTGTGTGTGTGTGTGTGTGTGTGTGTGTGTGTGTGTGTGTGTGTGTGTGTGTGTGTGTGTGTGTGTGTGTGTGTGTGTGTGTGTGTGTGTGTGTGTGTGGTGTGTGTGTGTGTGTGTGTGTGTGTGTGTGTGTGTGTGTGTGTGTGTGTGTGTGTGTGTGTGTGTGTGTGTGTGTGTGTGTGTGTGTGTGTGTGTGTGTGTGTGTGTGTGTGTGTGTGTGTGTGTGTGTGTGTGTGTGTGTGTGTGTGTGTGTGTGTGTGTGTGTGTGTGTGTGTGTGTGTGTGTGTGTGTGTGGAAGACAAACAAACACAACTCCTTCAAATCACTCTGAGGATCAGTGATTGATTTCTACTGGCTCCTATACCGTTTTCTACAAATATATACAAAATAACTTGAAAACTATTTGAAGAAACTATAATAACATATAATGGTTTTTACATTGAATATGATTGAAATAGAATTGAAATAAAATACAATATGTGCAGAATTGAAAAACTAAATAATAGTGTGCATTAATGTCATGCACAGGGTCTATGACAGTGTGTGAACATCGTGATCATAAAGAAGGGATGGACTGTAGAGAGCTTGTTTTTATATCTGTTGGGCTGCATAGAGGACTTTCTGTGTGCATTACCCCTCCATGACGCGTCACGTCTACTGACAAATATATGTATGATGCTCTGCACAATCAAACAGACGTGTACTTGTTGCTGTTGCACGTCATGGCAGCACTAGTGGTGAATTGTGAATGTCATGGCTATCATTTTTTGCAAGTTTCTCTCTGCACAAAGGTTTTGAAAGATACTGTAATGTTGCTGTAAGTAAAGGGTGATGATACATGTCGATAAAAAGGCAGCATTTGGCAAAAACCCCTCCTTTTTAGATCCTTCCCACCGTCACATCCACCGTCACATCTACTGACGAATATATACGTATCTGATCTTATTGCAATCAAACAGATGTGTACTTGTTGCTGTTGCACGTCATGGCAGCACTTGTGGTTGATATGGTTGATAGTGGCTATCAATCGTTGCAAGTGTCCCTCTGCACAACGGTTTTTAAAGATACCAAGAGTCGACAGACATTGCTATCACAACCAAACGGTGTGATAATGTTGCTGTAAGTAACTGGTGATGATAAATGTTCATAAAAAGGTTTGCAAAAAACCCTCCTTTTTCGATCCTTTATGACCTAATTGTCCATTTCTTTCTTCTTATCTTGCCTCCATCTCTCCTCTCCTCGTGTAATTAGGCCATATCCTCCTCCTCCTTCAGGCATTATTATTCAGAGCAACAGATGCCTCTCATCCCACTTTCTGTCGCCCCCCCATCCACACCCTTATTTTGCATCATTTGTCGACTTTACGTCTGTACGTTTGCACCACATAACCCATTGTGTTCCTATCCTCTGTTCTGCTTTATTTTCTCCTTTCCCCTTGCCCTTTTCCTCTCCATTATTCTACTTTTCCTCCCCTCTCTTTCATCTCCTTTCTCTCCTCTCTCCCTCCCTGTTGTTTCCCCTCTCCATTATCCCTCTTTCCTGCCTTCATCTGCTCAGTGTCAGCTGTTATGTAACAGTCAGGTGACGTGTTGGCCAGTGAAAGCTTTAAAGGCCTAGCGCCCTGCTAACACTGAGCTTCATTAGTGTGTGTGTGATTGTCTGCAAAAGTGAAGATTTGTCCCATTCTGCTTCAATTTGTAAATGTATTACAATATAATGTACCTTTTTTTTTAAAACCTCTATTTAATAAGGAGCTTAGTTGTAAAAATGATATAGTTTTTCTCATATCAGAGATAAGATCAGTGTGTGTTTGTCTACAAAAGTGAAGATTTGTCTTAAATGTGTAATCTTTTAAGATATAAGAAAGTCTTGTTGCTCTTTTTCTTTCTTAAACCTTTATTTAGTGTCAAACTAAGTGGAGAAAGTTAAAGTCATATCAGAAGAAAAATCTTACAAACGTTCAAAAAAGCATTTAAAATCAGCACGATTTGAGTAAATACTTACTATACAAGAGTATAAGACAATAGTATTGAGAGTGCACATATCTGCTTGTGTTGATTTCAGTCTAGTTTGAATACTTAAAGGGGACCTATCATGCAAAATGCACTTTTGTACGTCTTTTCTACATGAATATGTGTCCCCGGTGTTCCAGGGAACTCACCAAGTGTCAGAAAACACAACCCTCTCTATTTTCCTCCATACCCAAATCTCTAAAAAAGGGGCTGCAACGGATCTGATAAAAACTGATCCAGATTTGAACACTGTCCTGACGTCAGGACGGTGGCGCTACGGCTATTGGGCCAACTCCACCAATCAGGAGGAGACAGCCACGGCCATTGCCGTTCGAAAGCGCTGGAGACGCTGTAGAACATATGCCAGGCCTGTAGGTGGTGCTGTTCTCACAAAATCAGTCCTTTCAAAAACAGAGTTAAAAATTGTCAAATTGAGCAAAATGAGGCATGGCTAAAATGCATGATCTGTTTGGTATTTTGAAAAAAAAAAAGTATAAATATGCCTTACTGTATATAGGTATGGTCCTACACTATATTATTCAAATATAGCATGATAGGTCCACTTTAACATAATTGAATTTACATTTTGTTTTTACATTTGTATCCAAGAAGATAAAGGAAATGGATGAGTCAGTGAAACACCATCATACAAAAATGGCATAAAAATCATCTTAAAGAGTTCAAAACAATGCATTTAATTCACAATCCAACATCGATTGGGAAAAACTCCACAATAGAGGGAAGTCATGCGTATATACACTTTAAAGTTCACCAGATAATGGCAAAAAACTATGGCTAACATAAAAAACTGAGTCGTTGCAGGTTCTTTCAATGCTTAACATGGTTTCTTGTTGTCGTAAAAGCTAAGAACGAGACCTGCAAGGGATCAAATAAAACGACAGTGCTGATTGTTGTCGGGCCAAGAAGACGAGTTTATCACCAGTGTTTGGATGAAGGTCTAACAGCATGACCATATGGTGTGGCTTCTCCCTCCCAATGTTCCTCTTTCATTCCTAAATAACACTTTTAGATTAACATAATATAATATAATATATACACATTATTCCTTCTCTCCTTAATTGGCACGAATGTTCATGTGAATGCTTACATGAATTAGCCTTTTTAGTGCACTAATTATTGACACCTCCTGTATTCCCACTGGTCCTCCCACACGACATTACAATGCTGCTTTGTTGTCATGAGTCATGGTTTTGATGATGCCTCTTCACTCAGGTTGTGTACATTTGCAGCACATTAATTATAGTCTGTTAATAAAGCGCTGAGGAGCTGAGAGAAGGGTATCAGGGGTGAGCTTTTTAATTTACAAAATGCTCAGATGCACTCGTTCTGCGTGGAATTAATGCATCGCATAATGGCGTAGGCTTTACTGTTTTGCACATCAAAGAAGAGGCAGATTCAGACGCTTTATATGTTCAACAAAAGACTTTGACATCGTGGAAATTAAGCGTAAATTACCATATAAATAACCAAGTATTGTGGAAGTAATTTAGCCTTTAACTAACTGGTTTTGCATGTGGTTTAAAATGTGTAAAAAGCGTTACTTCTACTTTTTTAATAACTTTACAGCTTGTTGTTTCCACTTAGGCAACTATTAATTTCATTACTTACAGCATTAGTCATTTACATGATGAATTCCTTACACTTATATATATTTTTTATAATTCTAAATAAATGTGGTTTAGTATAGATACGTTTTGGCTAGACCTGTCATTATAGCAAGTTTTGTAGGACCTTATATTTGTCCCTGAAATAATTGCAAGAAATAATATAATTGTCATTTTAAGCCCATAATGTATCACTGATATAATGATCAGATAAAATGTAAATGTGTACTTTTAGGAAAATAAAACCATGCAACCAAAACAATAAATACAATTGTCTCAATTAACAAAACATTGCAGGTCCCTGAGTCTGATAATGGCAGGGAAATCATTCTGTAAACAAACACACATGTAAACACAATGGGTGATTATGGATGTCTGCAAAAATGCTCGAGGCCCTGTCCACATGTACAGAAAGTAAATAGCGCTATTATTGTATCAGGTGTTGTTCTGACTGTCTTTCTCTCCTCTTGTCTTTCTCCAGGTGCTGATATTGTCTGAAGATGAGTAGTGGGGGGGGAAACACCCCGGAGCCCTCCTCAGGGGGCGAGACTCTGAAGAGGAAGGACTGTCCGTCAGACCTGGTGGGGCCCAGGTGAGAAACTAAAACACCACCAAACATCCACACATGGCTTATTGCAATTCAATCAGGAGAGACAGTTTTGATGCAACGGTATATATTTATTACCGGGAATACACAGATGAATGTAATAGTGTTTGGCGATTAGACCCCGATGAAACCCCCCTCCCTGGGGTCTAGACACTGGTGGTGGAGGCATGAAGGGATTGATGGAGGTCGGTCTGAAGAGTAGTGGTTTGGAAGAAAGGAAGGTGGAAGGGGTGAGCTTCATTAGAATGAGTCCTAAACCAGGAAATGAGTCAGCATTTTACGCTTTTTGGGCATCCTTGTATCAAAGTCAACAGCTTTTTTTAAACGTATTTTTGGTTAAATGTATGAAATAAGGTCTGTGGTTGAGTTCTACCAAATAAAATACATTAGTAAATACTCCATTGGTGAATAAAGAAGTTATTACTCCTCGGTGGTTGCTACCAAGTGTCTAAATGAGACGACTAAACGTCATAACGCTGAACATTAGCCGCCTTTAGCTTAGCGGTGGTGGTGACGTGAAGTCATGTGACCAGGACGATACAATATGACATAATAAGCTTTATCTATCATGTATGACACTTGTTTAGAAAAGTTAAATAAATAAGAAGATACTTCTGTAATGGAAAGTAAAAAGAGGCAGAGAGAGAAAGGTTGGATGAAATTATTCTATGCCCTCGCAGCTCGGTGGAGAAAAATGCAGAGGCAGCATTTTTTAGGACGAGACTTTATAAAAATACAATCAGAAGTCGTTGAATGAGGATGTATGAAGGTTGTAGAGACGATGGACCGAGGCTTTAATGAGGACATGGGGAGGTTGTAGCTCAGGTTTTTTGAGGACGTTGACTTTAGAAAGTTAGAGTCAGGACGAAATACGCACTGGACAAAATTGAAGCAAAGTGGGAAGTTCAGGAAATATAAAAAAGCGTTTGGGATGTCCACAGATGTATTCAACATCAGGAAAACTTCATTTGTGTCACAACGAGGAAGACATCAATGGCAAAAAAATAATCATATAAAAGTGATATATCATATTACATACAAATATTCTACTTGAACTTATTTCATTATAGTTTTAACTCCCTGTTGACATGCTGTTGGGACAAAACGGTCTCCTAATTCGCGACGAATAAAGTATATTTAATCTAATCTAATCTAAAAATGTGTCTAATAAACATAGCAATGTTATAATATCATACATTTAGCTAATGCTGGCAAATCCAACTCAATAAAAAAAGGGTGGAAAACGGGAATTTCGAGCTTGTGCATGGCAAAAAATAGTTTTTCATTTAACACCTGTGATTCAAAAAAAAAACTTGTAAAAGGATTTTCTACTTTCATTTATTTCATTTAATATTTATAGTTTTAACTCCCTGTTGACAGGCTGTTGGGACAATACGGTCTCCTAATTTGGGATGAATAAAGTATATTTAATCTAATCTAATCTAATCTAAAAATGTGTCCATTAAACATAGCACTGTTAGGGTCATATAATATCATACATTTAGCTAATGCTGGCAAATCCAACTCAATAAAAAAAGGGTGCCAGCTTGTGCATGGCAGAAAAGAGGCTGGAGTTTCCTCATTTAACGACAGTGATCTACCAAGATAATCATCCTGCTTTTCTTCCTGTGTACGTTCATTTCTGGTGTTAATGTTGGCGATGTCTTTGTGTCCCTGCAGCCCTAAGAGGAGCACAGAGAAGAGGAACCGGGAGCAGGAGAACAAGTACATCGAGGAGCTGGCCGAGCTGATCTTCGCCAACATCAACGACATGGACGACTTCAACGTGAAGCCGGACAAATGTGCCATCCTCAAAGAGACGGTGAAGCAGATCCGGCAGATCAAGGAGCAAGGTGAGGAAAAACACTCCTTCACACTCCACACTGTGTCCTCTTCTAGAGTCCTTTGCTCTACTAAACTGAGAGAAAATATAGGGAATGAGAACTGCTTATCGTTCTGGGACAGTGCAGCCATATTTGGAGGAAAGCATCTATAGAGTGATGAGGTCTTGCATTGCACCCTCGACTAAAAGCAATGGGGTTTTTCCATAGGATTTTGGAATATTGCAAAAAATTCACTCTGTGGCAAACACACATTTATGATACTTGCACATATTGTTCAGCAGGATAAAAGCAACTGCCAGAAGTAAAAAAGCTAATGTTGGGCTATAAAGGAACTACAGCACGGTCACATGACCTCACGTCACCACCGCTAAGCTAAAGGAGGCTAATGTTGGGCTATAAAGGAACTACAGCACGGTCACATGACTTCACGTCACCACCGCTAAGCTAATGGCGGCTAATGTTGGGCTATAAAGGAACTACAGCACGGTCACATGACTTCACGTCACCACCGCTAAGCTAAAGGTGGCTAATGTTGGGCTATAAAGGAACTACAGCACGGTCACATGACTTCACGTCACCACCGCTAAGCTAAAGGAGGCTAATGTTGGGCTATAAAGGAACTACAGCACGGTCACATGACTTCACGTCATCACCGCTAAGCTAAAGGCGGCTAATGTTGGGCTATAAAGGAACTACAGCACGGTCACATGAATTCACGTCACCACCGCTAAGCTAAAGGTGGCTAATGTTGAGCTATAAAGGAACTACAGCACGGTCACATGACTTCACGTCACCACCGCTAAGCTAATGGCGGCTAATGTTGGGCTATAAAGGAACTACAGCACGGTCACATGACTTCACGTCACCACCGCTAAGCTAAAGGTGGCTAATGTTGGGCTATAAAGGAACTACAGCACGGTCACATGACTTCACGTCACCACCGCTAAGCTAAAGGAGGCTAATGTTGGGCTATAAAGGAACTACAGCACGGTCACATGACTTCACGTCATCACCGCTAAGCTAAAGGCGGCTAATGTTGGGCTATAAAGGAACTACAGCACGGTCACATGACTTCACGTCACCACCGCTAAGCTAATGGCGGCTAATGTTGGGCTATAAAGGAACTACAGCACGGTCACATGAATTCACGTCACCACCGCTAAGCTAAAGGTGGCTAATGTTGAGCTATAAAGGAACTACAGCACGGTCACATGACTTCACGTCACCACCGCTAAGCTAAAGGTGGCTAATGTTGAGCTATAAAGGAACTACAGCACGGTCACATGACTTCACGTCACCACCGCTAAGCTAAAGGTGGCTAATGTTGAGCTATAAAGGAACTACAGCACGGTCACATGACTTCACGTCACCACCGCTAAGCTAAAGGTGGCTAATGTTGAGCTATAAAGGAACTACAGCACGGTCACATGACTTCACGTCACCACCGCTAAGCTAATGGCGGCTAATGTTGGGCTATAAAGGAACTACAGCACGGTCACATGAATTCACGTCACCACCGCTAAGCTAAAGGTGGCTAATGTTGAGCTATAAAGGAACTACAGCACGGTCACATGACTTCACGTCACCACCGCTAAGCTAAAGGTGGCTAATGTTGGGCTATAAAGGAACTACAGCACGGTCACATGACTTCACGTCACCACCGCTAAGCTAAAGGTGGCTAATGTTGAGCTATAAAGGAACTACAGCACGGTCACATGACTTCACGTCACCACCGCTAAGCTAAAGGTGGCTAATGTTGAGCTATAAAGGAACTACAGCACGGTCACATGACTTCACGTCACCACCGCTAAGCTAAAGGTGGTTAATGTTGAGCTATAAAGGAACTACAGCACGGTCACATGACTTCACATCACCACCGCTAAGCTAAAGGTGGCTAATGTTGAGCTATAAAGGAACTACAGCACGGTCACATGACTTCACGTCCCCACCGCTAAGCTAAAGGCGGCTAATGTTGGGCTATAAAAGGAACTACAGCATGGTCAAATTACTTCACGTCACCACCGCTAAGCTAAAGGTGGCTAATGTTGGGCTATAAAGGAACTACAGCACGGTCACATGACTTCACGTCCCCACCGCTAAGCTAAAGGTGGCTAATGTTGGGCTATAAAGGAACTACAGCACGGTCACATGACTTCACGTCACCACCGCTAAGCTAAAGGTGGCTAATGTTGGGCTATAAAGGAACTACAGCACGGTCACATGACTTCACGTCACCACCGCTAAGCTAATGGCGGCTAATGTTGGGCTATAAAGGAACTACAGCACGGTCACATGACTTCACGTCACCACCGCTAAGCTAATGCCGGCTAATGTTGGGCTATAAAGGAACTACAGTACGGTCACATGACTTCACGTCCCCACCGCTAAGCTAAAGGAGGCTAATGTTGGGCTATAAAGGAACTACAGCACGGTCACATGACTTCACGTCCCCACCGCTAAGCTAAAGGAGGCTAATGTTGGGCTATAAAGGAACTACAGTACGGTCACATGACTTCACGTCCCCACCGCTAAGCTAAAGGTGGCTATTGTTGGCCGTGATGATGTTTAGTCGTCTAATTTTTTGTAAAGAACCGTTGTTATTTTGACACATCGCTGTAATGATTAGTCAACAGGTTGTATTTGTTAGTATATTTTCAAAGATGGCCGACTTGATGTGGATGTCGTCACATTCCCATTTGCTATATGGCTGTTTTTCAAGAAGCAGTCTGCTATGAATCTATTTTACAGAGCGGATAAAAGTTCAACTTCTAAGGAAAGTAACATCTAACATGTTTTTTTTTTTCTCCATTCTCACACTATTTCAAGATGAAAGAAAGTGTCTATTCATGTTCTCACAACCACAAACATGGAATTGACTGAGGAGAGAGTGTGGTTTCTATAATGTATTTATGAAGCTAAATGCTGCAATCCCATCAACTGAGATGATTAGATGATATGGGAAGAACTTTTCTGGGCTGTTCACACGTTATTTTTGAGGATGCGTGTGAACACAGCCTGATTTTACAGTGTGAAACAAATCAAAAAATGCAGCAGCTAAATGTGATGTCAGTCTGTCCCTGTCCTTCACTTTTCTTATCCTTTCTTTTACTCCCACAGACTTTTTCCATTGCTTTCATTTTCTACACTTTCCTTTCCTCACCTCTCCTCCATTTCTCCTTTGTCCTTCCTCAAACAAATCCTTAACTTTCCTGCCCACTCCTTTCCTTTCCTCCTTCTCCACTTGACTCTTTTTACCCTATTACCTTTTTCCTATCCATCTAAGATCCTTCCTTACACACACTAGTCCTTTCCTTTCCTCTTATCATTCAGTCTTTTTCTTTCTTCATATCAACATCCATCCTTTTCTCTAGTTTCCTTCAAAATCCTTTGTCTTTCACATTCTCCTACTCCTACTTTTACTATCCCACTTTCACCCTCCTACAATCCATCACATTCTCATCTCACATTTTCATCAAACATCCTCTCCTTCCTCTCTGCCTTTTCTTATTACCTTTTTCTTATCCATCTTAAATCCTTCCTTGACCACTTACTTATTTCCTCTCCTTTTAACTAACTTGTTCAACTCTCTTCTCCCCTCTTCCTCCGTCCTTATTCTTCAACAACATCACTCATTAACTTTCTTTCCTTTCCCTCACTTCTTTCTCCTTCTTCTCTCCTTCCTCTCCTTCCTCCCCTCTCCTCTTTTTGTTCCTGTGGTCAGCCGGTTGGTGTCCATGTGTTTGTGCCTGAAAACAACAGCTGAATAAGCACACACACACACACACACACACACACACACACACACACACACACACACACACACACACACACACACTCATAGAGAATACACAAGTCACACAGCTGTCCGCTCAAGCCGACAATTGCCTAGCAGCCTTAGTATTTGACAGATGAAGTTCTGTATTGTCGAACAAAGTGTGTGTGTGTGTGTGTGTGTGTGTGTGTGTGTGTGTGTGTGTGTGTGTGTGTGTGTGTGTGTGTGTGTGTGTGTGTGTGTGTGTGTGTGTGTGTGTGTGTGTGTGTGTGTGTGTGTGTGTGTGTGTGTGTGTGTGTGTGTGTGTGTGTGTGTGTGTGTGTGTGTGTGTGTGTGTGTGTGTGTGTGTGTGTGTGTGTGTGTGTGTGTGTGTGTGTGTGTGTGTGTGTGTGTGTGTGTGTGTGTGTGTGTGTGTGTGTGTGTGTGTGTGTGTGTGTGTGTGTGTGTGTGTGTGTGTGTGTGTGTGTGTGTGTGTGTGTGTGTGTGTGTGTGTGTGTGTGTGTGTGTGTGTGTGTGTGTGTGTGTGTGTGTGTGTGTCATATTAAACTGTTACATAAGCTTTGAAAGTAAAGGAACTAAATAAGTAGATTACAAAATAAAGCAGCGTACTCTTTGAGGGTTATACAACAGCAATAAAGGTTGACTGTTCTTCTTTCAACCCAACTTGTTGTGAAATTGTTGCAGCTGTGAACATATTGTACAGCGGACTTATTGTGAGGCCAAAAAAGAGGGTCAACAAGGGGTGGAAGAAGTACTCATGTCTTTGAATTAAGTAAAAGTATTAGTACCACAGTGTAGAAATACTCAGTTACAAGTAAAAGTCCTGCCTTCTTTCAGTAAAGGCACAAAAATACTACTTTATATACTTGTCATTCGGATTAATATATGTATTGTATTGCTTGTATAATTAGTAATGCATTGATGTGAACATCAGGGGACCTATCATGCAAAATGTACTTTTTGATGTCTTTTATACATAAATATGTATTGTTATGTCGGGGAACTCACGCAGCGTCAGCAAATAAAACCCTTTCTCTTTTCCTCCGTACCCAAATCTTTTAAAAACGGGGATACAACGAGCGGATACAGATTTGCTGCCGATATGACGTAATTTCAGATGCTGGACCCACAGAGAGTTGCTATCAGAAACAATGCCTTACGTGTTTTGGACGTAATATGGGGTGTTTCTCAATCTCGAGTAAAGCTGCTTCAGAGCCACTATTTCAAGCATACTACGTCATCGAGTGCCGCCGAAGTACTGTTCCAATCTCCAGCATACTTGGAAATCTACCGAGCCCGGCGTACTCCGTTTGGAGAAATATCGAGGCTGCACTCCGCGGTCTTAAAATCCCCACAATGCTTTGCGCACGGACCAATTTCCAAAATCTGTGGCGAAAAATGTAAGGCGGGGCCTCTCATATGACGCACACCTGCACACTTGCTAGCGTGTTCCACTCTTCGTTTTCCAAATGTCAGGAAGTATTCTTGACTCGCTTCTGAAGCAAGATGCTCGGCAGACATGTGCTACCAAGCAAGCGTACTCGCGATTGAGAAACACCCAGTGTCTGTGTTTACATTAGCAAGCCTCGCTAACACTCAGAGCTAACCTGTACTGGAGAGAACATGTGTTTAAAAAGCAGGAAATAAAAAAAGGAACTCACCTTGTGATAAACCTGCAAGAGAAAAAGCATTTGAGCTCCATACTGTTTCAGAAATAATCCTTGATGTGGTTTAGAACAGGATGGCGTTTTATCACAGCAGAATTTAACTTTATCTCCGGTAGAATTCTGAGCAGACATTAGCTCCGCCTCCTCTTTTTTTTTTTTTAAGATAAGGACCCAAAATCCGCGTTTCTCTAAACAGGGCTGGAATAGAGGGATATGAGGGATTTCTAAAATGCATGATCTGTTTGTATTTTGAGCAAAACACATCATAGACTTGTTTTTATATATTTTAATATATCCGAGACTCATAATACATGCCTAAAAATAGCATGATACGTGCACTTTAAGTTAAAGTACTTCAAAATTGTACTTAAGTAAAACGTTCTTCCAACACTGGGGTATAAGATGATATGGGACCTTTTACCTCCTTTGTTTCAATGGGCTGGAAACAGTGTCATATTTATTGATTTAAATAAATAAAAGCGCACTGTGCCTTTAACGGCTGCAGTGACTCTGCACAGCTCGGTCCTGCAGGAATGTGAGCTATGTGTCCTAATGGGGCCATGGGAGGCTTAGAGGAGGAGAGGGGGGTCTCTAATGTGGACATACAGCTCATATACTGGAACATACATTTGTATTTCAACATGTATATGTTATACTTTCTTAAAGATCTCCTATCACGCTATTTTTAGGCATATATTATGGGTCTCGGATATATACAAATATATAAAAAAACATGTCTATGTGTTTTGCTCAAAATACCAAACAGATCATGCATTTTAGACATCCCTCATATCCCTCTGTTTCAGCTGTTAGAGAAACGCTGATTCGGGGTCCTTAGCGTGAAAAAAAAGAAGAGGAGGCGGAGCTAATGCCTGCTTAGAATTCTACGAGATGCAACTAAATGCTGCAGTGATTAAATACCATCATGTTCCAAACACATCAAGGATTATTTCTGAAACAGTATGGAGCTCAAATGTTTATTTTCTTGTGAGTTCCTTTTTTTATTTCCTGATTTTTTTTACACATACTCTCTCCAGTACAGGTTAGCTCTGAGTGTTAGCGATCCTTGCTAATGTAAACAAAGACCACATTACGTCCAAAACACGTTGCGCATTTCTATACCTACCTACCTACCTACCTAGCTACCTACCTACCTACCTACCTACCTAGCTACCTACCTACCTACCTACCTACCTACCTACCTAGCTACCTACCTACCTACCTACCTACCTACCTACCTACCTACCTACCTAACTACCTACCTACCTACCTACCTACCTACCTATCATGTTATTTGTAATTGACTATAGTTACTTTTTCGTTGTATCCTGATTACTTCGTCTTTTTACATGTAATCCGTTCACACTGCATCACATTCTAGGTGCTCAACCCTCCGCACAATGATGGAGGAGGTGAAGTTATAGGAGTGTGTGAGAGAAGCTGTGTGTTTGCCTGAGGGCGGCATTGGGACAAAAACATCACTGTTGGTGGTTTCTGGGAAGAGAAAATACCCATTAGGAGAGTTCTCAGAGTGAGTCTATCTGACTGAATGTGTTTCCAAGAAATCAACACACAATCACACTGTGTGGTAAACATACTGTCAGTCTCTCTGTTAGATACCAGCCCTTATAGTGAAGTGCAACAATCAGTGCTCCTGTGACTTGACACACCTACACTTTCAAAGTGCCAGTCACTTATACACTGCTGTTGTAAATATGCACAGCTTCATTTGTTATTATTGCATCGAATTGACAACTCAATAGTTCAAAAAGTATATATATTTTTCTCCATAAAAGCTGCAGAAAGTCCTGAAACCTGGAAATGAGTCAGCATTTCAGCACTTCCTGTTCCCTCGTCTCAAAGTCAACGTTATTTAAATGTGTTTTCGGTTGTTAGCCTGAAATAAGGTCTGTGGTTAACACAAGCTGTAGAGATTTTTACATTTAGTTATACAACATAAAATACGTCGGTAAATACCGCACTGGTGGATTTAAAAACCGCGGTTGCAAACAAGTGCCTAAATGAGACGACTAAGCGTCATCACGCCCAACATTAGCCACCTTTAGCTTAGCGGTGGTGACGTGAAGTCATGTGACCGTGCTGTAGTTCCTTTATAGCCCAACATTAGCCTCCTTTAGCTTAGCGGTGGTGACGTGAAGTCATGTGACCGTGCTGTAGTTCCTTTATAGCCCAACATTAGCCTCCTTTAGCTTAGCGGTGGTGACGTGAAGTCATGTGACCGTGCTGTAGTTCCTTTATAGCCCAACATTAGCCACCTTTAGCTTAGCGGTGGTGACGTGAAGTCATGTGACCGTGCTGGAGTTCCTTTATAGCCCAACTGTAACTTTTTTCCTCTGGAGATTGCATTTACTCTTCAACTATTCTAAAAGTGGGGTTTATATGTGGAGATTATCCTGCTGAACAAAATTACTAATTATCATAAACATGTGTTTGCCAAAGATCTATTTTCTGCAATATTCCAAAATCATATAGAAAAATCCCATTGGCTTTTTCATAAGGGAACCCTTGCAATGCGATGTCATTATTGCACCACTCTATTCATCACATCATCAGTGCATGTATTTATTAAACTACAAACAAAACGTGGTGGATTTGATGAATGTCTTTTTACCTTCTATCTTATATCTCTTCACACAAAGACGTTTATTTAAAAAACTGTGACAGAGAAAGTTTGCCACCTCCTGAGACCTCTCTCTGTATCTGTTATAAACGCATGTTTCTCGTTGTCTCCCACAGAGAAAGCTCCGGTGGAGGATGCTGAGGAGGTGCAGCAGGCGGACGTCTCCTCCACAGGACCGGGGGTCATCGATAAAGACGCTCTCGGGCCCATGATGCTGGAGGTAGGCTCACACAAACATTACCAACCCCCCCCCCCCTCTCTCTGTTATCATGCTCTTAGGGAACAGAGTTTAAAGGTCAAAGCGATAAAGACACAAAACAGTGACACCAAGACAAGTTTCTACTCACATACCCGCCTGTAAGAGACCAATTAAGTAAAAATAAAAACATTTAGATTCAAAATGAAGTAAAAAAAACTACACCTGCAGGTTTTTCCAATCTTTATTGGACATTCAGAAAAAGGCACTTCACATCAATCTTCATATACTGATACATATCTGAACAGAAAATACACATTTGTAAAATAAAAATATGTTCTAGTGTTTTTAATTATCTACATTACAAAAGGTGCTTCTTTGACTTTTTAACTGGTTGTCATCATAAATGTATATATTTGTTTATTTTTAGGAGATAGGTTTCCTTTTGAATAGCAAAGGAAAGCAAACTGAGGTGAAGGTAATGCTGAGAGATAAAGAGCTGTCTGACTGTCTCTCTTACTTTAAATGGCGTTGCATTGTACAGTGACGCAGAGAGATAAGAGTTCCTCTGGCCAGCAGTAATGCTGTCATCAATGTGTGTGTGTGTGTGGGTTTGTGTGTGTGTGCATGTATGAAAGTGTGTGTGTGTGTGTGGTGACGTATAACATGGCACCCAATGAGGTAAAAATACCTCTCTGAAAAGCCAGATTAGAAAAGGGAGAGGTGGAGCTTGACCAAAGACACACACGCACACGCACACGCACACGCACACACACACACACTATATTTAGCTCCCACCAGTCGCAACATTGGCCGAGGTGTCGGCTCAGAGATAAATATCTCTCTGTCCGTTCCCCACAGAGTGAGATGTGAAGGGATAAGCAGCCGTTCAGCAGCACCGTGTGCAGACATGCGGCTAAGGGACAAATCACACTCTGTTCATATAGTGGGAAATGCTGAGTTGACAGGAATGAAAGAATGGAAAAACACACACACACGCACACACACACACACACACACACACACACACACACACACACACAGAACTAGATAGGCTACTGTAGACTTGCTTTAATGCCTCGGGTTATAAAAACGGCAGTGTAAGTTTGTGCTGGGTGTTTTTTGGGACATAATTAAGGGGCTTCTTTTTTCAATTTTGTTATCTTTGTTATCAATTTTCACGAAAAAGCCACCCAGACAATTAAAGAAAGAAAGAAAATATAATATTTTCATAAAGAGCAGACGATTTGAAATACACTTTTGAGGTTCACACTGTTGCAAAACTGTTGAATTTCTTCCTAATAAATATCCTGTTTACCTGTTGATAAAAAAGAAAAATGTCAAACGTAAAAAATGTGAATAACAGTATACGTTATGGATAATAATTATAAAAAATATAATCATTAAATGTTAAGTGTTTACATACAGTATATACAGATCTGAATATATGTTAAATATATATTTAAAAAAAGATAGTAGGAGTAAAATCTAAAATGTCATATTTACTGCCATTTGATTTTAGTGGAGAGTTCCCCTCTCATCTTTTGTCTCCTCTTCCTCACTCCTCCAGGCTCTGGACGGCTTCTTCTTCGTGGTCAACATGGAGGGAAACATCGTGTTTGTGTCGGAGAACGTGAGCCAGTATCTGCGCTGCCAGCAGGAGGAGCTGATGAACACCAGCGTCTACAGCGTGCTGCACGTCGGAGACCACGCAGAGTTCGTCAAGAACCTCCTGCCCACCAGCCTGGGTAAGAACCGCCTGAAGTGTACTGGTCTGATGGAGGAGATACTGTGAGGTGTTTGAACAATTTAGAGTTTCAGCCTGAGGTTAGTCACCTCAATAAACCTGAATACAGTGTTCAGACCAGTATTTAGCAGAGCAAATAATGCTATGAAACAGACTGTTCCTCTGTCTGTACAAACTCACAGAGGTCTGGAGAAATGTAGGTTAAAGACCACTTTGAATGGAGCTGCAGGTAACTAAAAACATGTATACTATATCAGAGAAAAAACACATTTAAACAATACAAATCGCAAAGCAAATGGCTTCATAAATAAATCCATTTTCTACCGTGTCCTTAACAACATTTCTTGACATATCTTATTGATAAAACTTTAGCTAATAGTTCAATCCTGTTGACAATATGTGCAGCTTTTGGGTTGGATTAGCTCCACATTACAACTCATTACAGATACGGTTTATTTTGGTATATTGCAGTAGTTTGGTGTTGCATGTTGGCACTAATATTGAACAGACCTTATTGACAGAGGTTTGGCTAATAGCTGAATCCTGTTGACAATATGTACAGCTTTTGGGTTGAATTATTTTTTTGTTAGCATGTGTTAAATCTTACCAGGGATGTTCTATAGGATAGCGGTGGGAAGTAGTGGAGTACAAAGACTTCGTTACTGTACTTAAGTACATGTTGCTGGTATCAGTACTTTACTCCACTACTTATTTTTCTGACGACTTTTTACTTTGACTTCTTACATTTTGAACACAAATACCTGTACTTTCTACTTCTTACATTTTGAACACAAATACCTGTACTTTCTACTTCTTACATTTGAACACAAATACCTGTACTTTCTACTTCTTACATGTTGAACCCAAATACCTGTACTTTCTACTTCTTACATGTTGAACACAAATACCTGTACTTTCTACTTCTTACATGTTGAACACAAATACCTGTACTTTCTACTTCTTACATGTTGAACACAAATACCTGTACTTTCTACTTCTTACATGTTGAACCCAAATACCTGAACTTTCTACTTCTTACATGTTGAACCCAAATACCTGAACTTTCTACTTCTTACATGTTGAACACAAATACCTGTACTTTCTACTTCTCACATTTTGAACACAAATACCTGTACTTTCTACTTCTTACATTTTGAACACAAATACCTGTACTTTCTACTTCTTACATGTTGAACACAAATACCTGTACTTTCTACTTCTTACATGTTGAACACAAATACCTGTACTTTCTACTTCTTACATGTTGAACCCAAATACCTGTACTTTCTACTTCTTACATGTTGAACACAAATACCTGTACTTTCTACTTCTTACATGTTGAACACAAATACCTGTACTTTCTACTTATTACATGTTGAACACAAATACCTGTACTTTCTACTTCTTACATGTTGAACACAAATACCTGTACTTTCTACTTCTCACATTTCCCAAACAGGCTGGTTCCTTTAGTTTGAATGTGTGTTTGGTGGCGTGATCATTATTATTTAGAGTCATTGCGTGCCTATTGATTTGAACACGATCCGTGTATCCATCATTTCCTGGTCTTCTCTAAAGAAGAGGGACCAATGAAAACGTTGTCATGTTGCCGTTGTTCAGCATGGAAACATTCATTAGCTAACAATGACATTATTGTTCTATTAATATAAAGGGAGGTCAGGTACTCTTTAAAACAGCTGCTAGTTATGGGTACTTTTTACTGAAGTACATTTCAAAGCCCTCTTTACTTTGACTTGAGTAAAGAAGTTTAGTCAGTACTTCTACTTTCACCAGAGTATTTTTAAACACGAGTATCTGTACTTCTACTTGAGTAAAGGATGTGTGTACTCTTGCCCTCTCTGGTGCTTGGTGATGTGCTTTATGTTGACCACCTTTCTGTTTTGCTGCCTCTCTTCATCTCGCAGTGAACAGCCGCAGCAGTGACTCTTCGAACAGGAACAGCCACACGTTTAACTGCCGTATGTTGGTCAACCCTCACGCTGACGCTGAAGCCGACCAGCAGGAGGCGCCGCAGCAGAAATACGAAACCATGCAGTGTTTCGCCGTCTCCGAACCCAAGTCTATCAAAGAAGAGGGGGAAGGTAATATCTCATGTAATGTTGTGTATTGAACCTCTTTCCCTTTTGATTCATTTCTTAGTCAAGGTTAGGGTTAGGATGACCTTAGGTGATCTCCCATTGGACAGAACTTTGGGAATTTTAGCCATTGCAGACCATTTACATGCACAAAAACCTATTTTATTTGTATCAACGTCTACATGTCCTTTCTCGCTAGTATTTTCTAATTCTCTACAGTTTTACCTCCTTTTGTTTCTATCTTACCACCCTTGTCTTTACTTTGTAATTTTCTCATCACTTTCTCCATCCCCCTCTTCACAGTCTCTGGTGTCCTGTCCTCTTTCCACCACCATCTCATCTACTGAGAGACACTAATTAGTGTGTGTCACTTTGTCATCTTCCCATCTTATCTTATCTCACACACACACACACACACACACACGCATGCACGCACGCACACACACACACACACACTTGGGAAAAGAATATGTCTGGCACTCTAATTTGAGACGTCTGACAACCAGATTTTGGGGGTGTTGCTTGAGATTAGGGTGGAGGCTGATTTTAAAACTCAGTCTGAGTCTGTTGAGGCTGACTTTTTGAGTTTGATTTCAATGCTAAAGTATTGTTAGGGTAATACTGTGGTTGAAAATGAGGAGGAGAAGGTCATAAATTCGGTATTAAGCATATTTAAGGTCGATGCAAGCATTAACTTGAGTCTCTTTGTAGATACTTATTGTGTAGATTGGCATTCAAAGTCAAATTGGTTAGAAGTACCCTTAAAGCGTGACCTTTTTAAAGTTTTAACTTGAGTTACCATTTAAATAATAATGTTGTTTTAAGGTCCCACTGTGCCTATGTTCTTCTACTGTATACATGTTATATTCCATTACTCAAGGTGTATGTGTAAGTGTTACTTAAGGATTATTTAAACCGATATTTTTCCAAACACACAGATTTCCAGTCTTGTCTGATCTGTGTGGCGAGAAGAGTCGCCGTCAAAGAGAGACCTGTGATGCCCACGTACGAGAGCTTCACCACGAGGCAAGACCTCCAAGGTACAAAAGGACCATTTTGAATAACACTTACTCACACAGTTTTAGGTTAGGGTCTTATAGGGAAATTATGTTTTTTTTGGTATGCCTTCACTGTGAAGTCAAATTGAGAAAAGACTTGATAAATTGAATTAAATGGGGTTGACAAAACATCCATTTACAAACTCTCACACAGCTCGTACAAAATATCCAGAATCCTGTAGTATGCTCACTACTTCTCTAAATAAATACCTTTTTGCTCAAATCTTACAATATCAAACCCCCCTGCAAAAACAGTGTCACACTTCCACAGATATGTTAGTAGTCCTTTAATATGAAGTATGATCAATCAGTATAGTGCATATAGTGCCAAATTAAAATGTACGGTGTTTGAAAAAAACTTTTAGAATCAGTTTTTTGTTTGTAGGTCAGGAACAAGTTTATAAAAGGTTCAGAGGGTTCTTCTGCAGAGTGGATGTTCGCACTTAAGGTTGTGAACTAAGGTCCACAGGTGAAGCAATTACCCTACTGCTCCATGACAAACATCAGCAAACAACTGACACATGGCAGCAATCTGTTCAAAATATTTTATTATTGGGGCTGCGTTTAACAAAATCAAAACTTAATCCATTTACAAAGTTCCACGTCTCATTTCTGGGATCCAGTTGTCTGCTCAAAACGTCTCAAACACATTCTCAGTCTTCAGTAAAAGGTTCAGGTGTAATTTGGTTATACTGTAAGTAAGTAAGTAAGTTAAATGTATTTATAAAGCGCTTTTCACAGACATAGTCACAAAGTGCTTGACAAAGCATTAAAACATCCTACGTGTAAAGTGCAGATATATAATCTTGTCTTGATCCCATTTGATCCAGTTTTTTCCCAAAGTATCTGCTGTATGGTGAATTCAAGCTGACACAGGATCAAAGTCAAAGTCAACTTCATTGTCAATCTTTCAGTGTGTGTGTGTGTGACAGAGAGATGGAGATACCGTTTCCCACAATCCCGAATAGAAAAATACAAATATGTATAAAATATGTATATCCTACACAATCAACAGACACATTTATACACATGCACACAATAAGATAACAACACAACAATCAATATATACAAAACAACAGTCACTTCAATATCTTTGGGAATGTACATTAGTTCAAGATTGTCCCAGGGTTCATACACTTTTTCACCAATGATTTTCAATGACTTCTCCATGACCTTTACCTAATTTTTCATGACCAAAAACATTACTCTTTCTCAGCGGTACCACTGAAAATGGTTTATTTTAACATGGAACAGGAAAATAAGGTCTGAAACATGTTGGTCCTATCTAAAGCAAATTAAATAATAGGCTTACTAGCTTCTACACGCTAAAGCAACTAAAATCTCTCACCAGCAAAATACCTCGACAGTTAAATGCCATTTTACGTTTCATTACTACACAATACAGTATTTATTATCGTTATAGTATTACTATTTCGGCGATTAGATAAAATATAAATTATATTTGATGCAAATTTAGTTAAATTTCCATGACTTTTCCAAAACTTTGGGAAAGATATTGTTTTCCATAACTTTTCCAGGGCCTGGAATTAGCATTTTGAATTTCCATTACTTTTCCAGGTTTTTAATGACCGTAAGAACCCTGTTAGCGTAAAAAAGTGTCTGGTGCTGGAATTGCGAGAATAGAGATCTGAATCTTTTGGCCAATTGTTAAGAAATGACCCTCCTGCTCTAACAACTACCTGAAACATGGCAGTAACATGTTAACTTCTCTTATCTCCTCCCTCCCCAGGTAAGATCACGTCTCTGGACACCAGTCTGCTGCGGGCCTCCATGAAGCCGGGCTGGGAGGATTTGGTGCGACGATGCATTCAGAGATTTCACCTGCAGAACGACGGGGAGATGTCCTTCGCTAAGAAACACCAGCAGGAGGGTGAGGAAGAAACTGGAACTGGAACTCAAAGTGTCTTAAATTCATGCTATGACTTTCTTCGTATTGGGTTGATTTATTGGTTGTGTTTTCTTATAGTTCTTTTTGAGTTTTTGCAAGTCTTGATGAATTCTTCCTGGGTTCAATTCGGACACGTTCATTGATCTAGAAGTTAATAAATTGTCGGACAATCTACCTTATATCTATGCTGGAAGAAACTGCAGACTGTAACTCTGTAACTAAAGGAGGCGTTTTGAGCCTTAGCTTGCTAACTATAATCAATTTTTCATTTTCTTTTCTTTTGGTTTGCATGATGTTTTTCAGTCTTAAAGTATTTCTTTGAGTTTTGCAAGTCTTGATGAATTGTTCCTAGGTTGCGGTCGAATAGTCCAAAAAATCAGGCTCCTATCCACCATTCGTCTGTCCCTATCGTCTGTCCCTATCGTCTGTCCCCTATCGTCTGTCACCTAATCGTCTGTCCCTATCGTCTGTCCCTATCGTCTGTCCCTATCGTCTGTCCCTATCGTCTGTCCCTATCGTCTGTCCCTATCGTCTGTCCCTATCGTCTGTCCCTATCGTCTGTCCCTATCGTCCCTCCCTATCGTCCCTCCCTCCCTATCGTCCCTCCCTATCGTCCGTCCCTCCCCTATCGTCCGTCCCTCCCTATCGTCCGTCCCTCCCTATCGTCCGTCCCTCCCTATCGTCCGTCCCTATCGTCCGTCCCTATCGTCCGTCCCTATCGTCCGTCCCTATCGTCCGTCCCTATCGTCTGTCCCTATCGTCTGTCCCTATCGTCTGTCCCTATCGTCTGTCCCTATCGTCTGTCCCTATCGTCTGTCCCTATCGTCTGTCCCTATCGTCTGCCCCTATCGTCTGCCCCTATCGTCTGCCCCTATCTGCTGCCCCTATCGTCTGCCCCTATCGTCTGCCCCTATCGTCTGCCCCTATCGTCTGCCCCTATCGTCTGCCCCTATCGTCTGCCCCTATCGTCTGCCCCTATCGTCTGCCCCTATCGTCTGCCCCTATCGTCTGCCCCTATCGTCTGCCCCTATCGTCTGCCCCTATCGTCTGCCCCTATCGTCTGTCCCTATCGTCTGCCCCTATCGTCTGCCCTATCGTCTGCCCCTATCGTCTGCCCCTATCGTCTGCCCCTATCGTCTGCCCCTATCGTCTGCCCCTATCGTCTGTCCCTATCGTCTGTCCCTATCGTCTGCCCCTATCGTCTGCCCCTATCGTCTGCCCCTATCGTCTGCCCCTATCGTCTGCCCCTATCGTCTGCCCCTATCGTCTGCCCCTATCGTCTGCCCCTATCGTCTGCCCCTATCGTCTGCCCCCTACCTGCCCCTATCGTCTGCCCCTATCGTCTGCCCCTATCGCTGCCCCTATCGTCTGCCCTATCGTCTGCCCCGATCGTCTGCCCCGATCGTCTGCCCCGATCGTCTGCCCCGATCGTCTGCCCCGATCGTCTGCCCCGATCGTCTATCCCCATCGTCTATCCCCATCGTCTATCCCTATCGTCCGTCCCTATCCCTCTGAGTGAAACGTCATGGGGTTAAGGGATAGTGGATAGGAGAATTCAAAAGGATTTAGGAGAAGAGACTGCGGTACTTTAGAGAATCCGACTGCACTTTCACTATCCGACGTGTTTATGATGCGCCAGCAGAGGTCATAAATGTGCGCCTGCTGCTGTGGGGAAACTATGGAAACTTCAGTTTCCTATACAGCGGACTACAACATGGATGTATAATAAGAACGAGGGACTACTGTAAACTCATCTAGAGACTCTGCACCGTGCTCTGATGCTGTTGTTTTATGCTTTATGAACAGGGACAACAGAGAAACATATTCTTCATGACCAAAGTTGGAATTGAAATAAAAAAGGAAAGTGAAACTTATGCTCGTCACCCTCTCCCTCCGGTCCACATTAATACAAATGATCCCAATACGTATGATTGTATGAAAAGATCTTAAAATCAATACAAATGTATTTTTTATAAACGTTAGTCCTTAACATCTATCACTGTGTATATCACCATTCAAACATCTTTTAAAAGTTGAACAAACCCCACACAGCTCAGTAAAGACTGTGAAATGTTGACTTTATTTGATCATTTCAGTAAAAACTAACGTTCATATTTCTCTTTTTGATTATAATACTGATGAACGTTCAAAACAAAGCACTTTGGCAACTTACCACATACGTTTTAAAATGCTTAATAAGCAGCGTAACTTTCATGATATCATTTCTCGGTCATAATCGGTTGTTTCCGTGAACGGCCGACTGTTGTGTGACGGCAAATGCTGCGGCCGCAAGGCATTGTGGGTCAGCATTTTCTCCTCTCCTTTCGGTGAGGGAGGTCCAGTGGTTCCTAAGCTAAAGGAGGTTATAAAGGAAGTTTGAAACCTCCTTTCCTTTCATCTAGAGAATTGGAACGGCACTTATCATGGCTGCCACTGAGGGACTTCCGGGTCATTTCACTCCGTTAGGAAGGTTCCTAAGCTAAACGGACTATTCGGACGCAACCCAAGGTTCAATGTGGACATGTTGAGGGATCGTTGAATTTTAAATGATCAGTTTTTTTTGCGACTGTCTTTGTTAAGTGGGACTTTTGTAAAGTGTCTTTGTGTATTTAAAGACGCTATATAAATTAAATGCATTATTATTATTCTGAAATTATTTGAGGAATAAATTGAAGGACAATCAAAATCTACCTTATATCTAGTTTTCCGTGTATCAAGTACATTTTTAACCAATTTCTTCTGACATAATACCACATTTTTGTGTACAAATATATGTGCAGGAAAAATGTGTATTTAAGAAAATGTCTGACCACTGGTGATCGGGTTTGCTGATTTAAGTCGATTAGATTTTTTAACTACATTGTATTTATTATCAGTTTTTAATTAGTATCATATAGACTTTTTTATACATCATAAATATAGTTACACAGACATTCTGTTACACCACTTTAATCCACTGCACATCTTAGTTTCTTTATCTCTTTCGGTGGAATCAAGTCATCATTTTGTGTCTCGCTCAGTGTCGCTCAGTGTCTGTCAGTGTCTGTCAGTGTCTGTCAGTGTCTGTCAGTGTCTGTCAGTGTCTGTCAGTGTCTGTCAGTGTCTGTCAGTGTCTCTCAGTGTCTGTCAGTGTCAGGATGTTGATATTAAAGTGTATTCTTCTGTCTCTCTGCAGTGCTGAGGATCGGCCACGCTCTCAGTCCTCTGTACAGATTCTCTCTCGCTGACGGCACCATCGTCTCGGCTCACACTAAGAGCAAACTGGTCCGATCGCAGGCCACCAACGAGCCTCAGCTCTACATGTCCCTGCACATCCTGCAGAGGTACACACACTCTTTCTCTTCCTCTGCATCTACTGCCATGTTTCTGTCTTCCTGATCATTAGGTTTAGTCTTTAGGAGACCCCACATGTGAGCGATTTCCCTCAATTTCCTTAAGAAGAGAGGCAACCTAAGGACATGTGTGCATTGTCTGAGAGTCCATCTTTTGAAATGTTGCACCAAAGTTTTCTCTTGTTTTTTGACACCTGCAAGCTTTTTTTCTTTACTACTTTTAGGTGTAATTGTTTCCCAGTGTGTCATTTTTAGGGTTTTAAGAAAAGAAAAACATATTTTGAGAGCCTCCATTAACAGACACAAGGTTTAACTCCCAAGAAAGTTATCCTCAACCTATTAAATTTTCTTGATACACATTTAGTTTAGTAGTCTGTCTTTTTGAGTGGTACAGAATATAGTAAGTGCATTTTTTCTTTGACGGTAGAGTCTTTATTTAAAGGGGACCTATCATGCAAAATGCACTTCTGTACGTCTTTTCTACATGAATATGTGTCCCCGGTGTTCCAGGGAACTCACCAAGTGTCAGAAAACACAACCCTCTCTATTTTCCTCCATACCCAAATCTCTAAAAAAGGGGCTGCAAGGGATCTGATAAAACCTGATCCAGATTTGAACACTGTCCTGACGTCAGGACGGTGGCGCTACGGCTATTGGGCCAACTCCACCAATCAGGAGGAGACAGCCACGGCCATTGCCGTTCGAAAGCGCTGGAGACGCTGTAGTACATATGCCAGGCCTGTAAGTGGTGCTGTTCTCACAGAATCTGCCCTTGCAAAAACAGAGCTAGAAATTGTCAAATTGAGCAAAATGAGGCATGGCTAAAATGCATGATCTGTTTGGTATTTTGAAAAAAAAAAGTATAAATATGCCTTATATAGGTATGGTCCTACACTATATTATTCAAATATAGCATGATAGGTCCACTTTAAACTCTGTGTGGTAAATAGTGGTAAATCATCCTAAACCCTGAAAAGGGACATTTAAATAGACAAAGGATCAACAACTTTTACAAAAACCTATTAACTTTTAAAAAACAGTTAAACGGATATATATTTGTTCTGATTGTCAGTAAATACAGAGAACAGGTTTTGGGTAGAAGTTAGGTAAGTCTAAAACCTCTGGTTCTGAAACAGTGTACACAACTGAGGAAACAGAGTAGTAACGAGGGTAAATCTGTAACAGTGTGATAGCTTTAAACATGAATCAACTCGAGCCCCACACCAAACACACAAAGCTCTCATTGTGCCGAGCGCCGCGGCGATAATTTCCAATGTGGAACTTGTGGAAGTAAAAAGGCCAAGTTCTGGCCATTGATCCTCGAAAGCTCCGGGTAACAGTCCTGGCTTTGTTTCCTGACCGCCGTCCAACTCTGTGAACGGTCCTACTGGAGGAACACTGTACTGGCTGCTGGTGCTCCTGTCAGTTTTGTGCAATACGTGCTGTATTGTGGCGTTTCTGAATAAGAGGCTCTTTGTTCTTAATACAGATTGATCTCTGTCCAAATCAACAGGAAACTAAAACACTCAAAGACATCCTGCAAACAAAATCTTATATTTTTATGATGTACTTTAAGTCATTCGATCTTGTCGACCCCTTCCTGAAACGCCTCCATCAGCAGGAGAGGACTCTTTAAAGTAGAGACACTACATACTGATATACACCTGAACATCAGCAGGAGAGGACTCTTTAAAGTAGAGACACTACATACTGATATACACCTGAACATCAGCAGGAGAGGACTCTTTAAGTAGAGACACTACATACTGATATACACCTGAACATCAGCAGGAGAGGACTCTTTAAAGTAGAGACACTACATACTGATATACACCTGAACATCAGCAGGAGAGGACTCTTTAAAAGTAGAGACACTACATACTGATATACACCTGAACATCAGCAGGAGAGGACTCTTTAAAGTAGAGACACTACATACTGATATACACCTGAACATCAGCAGGAGAGGACTCTTTAAAGTAGAGACACTACATACTGATATACACCTGAACATCAGCAGGAGAGGACTCTTTAAAGTAGAGACACTACATACTGATATGAACCTGAAAATGATCATAATATGTCCTCTTTAACTCACAACTTGTGCTGTACCTCATTATTAAAATTCACCCGTCTACACCTATTCTGATTCTTCTTTCTTTTGACTTCCAGGGAGAATATGACTGTGGAGATACCAGGAGGGCAGGGCATATCCAAACCAATGACCCCCACCAGTGTGCGCGGCCCCTCCCCTTCCCCTGATGCCAGCGTCACCAGCAACACCCCAGTTCGTGGTTTGGGGGTCGTTTCGGGGCGGGGAAGCAGCCCTAAAGCAGTGAAACTGGGCAGCCCTTCACCCCAGGGAAGCCCCAACGTCTCCTCCGCCATTTTGTCCCCTCGTCATCTCCCAAACCCCTCTGGGTCTTTCTCTCCTGCAGCTGGACTCCATTCTCCAGCGTCTGTTTGCAGCAGCACGGGAAACAGCCAAGGGTTCAATTCCCTCAGTGCACTGCAGGCAGTCAGTCAGGGGCACAGGGTTTCCCAAGGACTCACCGAGGGGCAGTGTACAGACAGGTCACCTGACAGGAAGTCGATTGGCATCCAGAGCCCTCAAAACACTCAAAACACTGAAAACAGCAAGAATAATCAAAGCTTGGAGGCGGATTTATTGGGAACTTTTGGGCAGCAGCAGCAGGAGGAGTTGTTGTCCCCGAATCAGGAGGAGGAGAAGGATAGTGACCCCGATAGCTCCGAAAATAACGGGAGTTTAGGGGAGGGAAATCGCCCGATGAACACAAAAGGCCACACTAAGCTTCTTCAACTCCTCACCACCAAATCCGAGCCCCCAGATCCTTGCTCTTCTCCCCCTTCAGGCGACGACCAAAAGGACCAAATGGGAGGTTTGGGTGGATCCGGGAATAACAACCACTCCACCTCGCTGAAAGAGAAACACAAAATCCTCCATAGACTCCTCCAGAACAGCACTTCGCCCGTGGAGTTGGCCAAATTGACGGCGGAGGCGACGGGAAAAGACCCCCTGGGTGGGGAGGCAACTTCTGGGGACAATATGGCCGCCCTGGGGGACATCAAACAGGAACCTGGGAGCCCCAAAAAGAAGGACAATGCGTTGCTGCGCTACCTGTTGGACAGGGACGATAACGGCATCCTGGATAAAACCATCAAGATGGAACCAGGCGAGGAACCGCAGCTGGCCAACGTGAAGATAGAGAAACAGGAAGTGGGATTTAACATGGCCGACCAGGTGAGGGATGATGACAGTGAGGTTCATGATTAGTAACGAATAATCTGTGGGTGGATTGATGGATAATGATTTTAACGGAAAAATAAGCAACTTTTCGTTTTTAGAGTCTCAAATGAATTTGTTACTTCTCTCAGTTTAGTTACAAATGACAATTATTTCTAGTATCGGTTAATTTGGCAACTATTTTCATTATTAATCTATGGGTAAATGGGGAGAAACAATCAGCAGCAGTTGCGAATATTATTTTAGTAAATTATAATAAAAATTCAATTATTATTATTTTTTCAATAAGTGGTTAATCTCCCAATAAATAGTCCGTCAATTAATCGATTGATTTACAGAATGTCAGAAAGATATGGCCAATTCAGTTTTTCAAAGACCAAGATGATGTCTTTTAATGTCCTATTTTATATACAAAATAACAAGAAAAGCTATAAAAGCAGGACATTTGACTAAAACTAAATGTATGCATGAAAACTTACAATTAATAAAATATATTATATTAAAAATTGTTTATAAAACTAAAATTTGAATATTAGAAATAGTTTTCAGTAATTGTTCCAGCCCTAATTTTTGGTACAGTTGAAAACGCAATATCTTTATCAGTACATGAACACATGGAGGAGGACCACAGTCATTCCTCCCTTGCATATTAACCGTTATGTCTTTTATGAGAAAGATAATGAATATTTCCACTTAAGAAGCTGGCATAGTGTGTTTAACAGCTCCTGTAAACACGTTGGAGTGAGAAGTGTGTGTGTGTGTGTGTGTGTGTGTGTGTGTGTGTGTGTGTGTGTGTGTGTGTGTGTGTGTGTGTGCGCGTGTGTACGACGTGTTGACTTCCTGCAGGCAGCTGATGGCTCGCTGTCAGGAGTCAGTTAGTCCCTGAAACACAAGGTGTGTGTGTGTGTGTGTGTGTGTGTGTGTGTGTGTGTGTGTGTGTGTGTGTGTGTGTGTGTGTGTGTGTGTGTGTGTGTGTGTGTGTGTGTGTGTGTGTGTGTGTGTGTGTGTGGTGTGTGTGTGTGTGTGTGTGTGTGTGTGTGTGTGTGTGTGTGTGTGTGGTGTGTGTGTGTGTGTGTGTGTGTGTGTGTGTGTGTGTGTGTGTGTGTGTGTGTGTGTGTGTGTGTGTGTGTGTGTGTGTGTGTGTGTGTGTGTGTGTGTGTGTGTGTGTGTGTGTGTGTGTGTGTGTGTGTGTGTGTGTGTGTGTGTGTGTGTGTGTGTGTGTGTGTGTGTGTGGTTGTGTGTGTATAAATAGGGAACGCAATGCTACATGTGCAGCTGTAATAGAGACATGGTAAAGCATGTTGGAGTGTTTGTGATTTTTCAGACAGTCAAATTATTTGTCTTTACCTTGTGGAACTTTGGGATGAAATGGAAGAACAATATTGAAAATATACTCTAAAATAAATAAAACAAATTATATAAATGCAAGAAGTGAAATTGCAATACCAAAATAAAAAAAATTCAAAAAATGAATCAAAGATATTCATGTAAACATTAGAATTAAATTATCCAATATATGTTTTTTTTTAATAAATTAGAATTATATATATATGGTAAATTTAAAGCAAAAATGTGCATTAAAATGATAACAAATAAATACAGTAAAATAAAGATAGTTATTTAAACATAAGAAGTTAGAATCAAAACGTTTACATTGTACTACAATACATAGCATGTACAGTTTAACAATATATACCGTGCTGTTTTAGTATGAATACACTCTTAATGCTGATTTGCATATGTGTGAATGTACAGTTTTTCTATCACCAACATGTCTCAGAGTCGCTCTCCTTAGTGTTGCAAGTGTTGCTTATTGAAGCTGCAGGTGCACAGGCAGAGTTGTAGTTTCAGGAAGAGGCTGAAGGAGGAAGGTCTGACTTCCTTTCTTTGAACAGCTGTTCCTCCGGAGGCTGCGTTCAGAAACTCTGATCCTGCAGGCTTGGTTTCTAGTTTGTAGAATAAAGTGACACTTTTTTCTGAGCCGGTCCTCAAGCAGCCAGGAACTCTGTCATCTCAGGTTAAAGGAAAATACTTTGTCCATCAATTACTCACCCCGTGTTACTTTGAACTCGTTTAGTTTTGTTGAAGCCCTTTCACGGAGAAAAGTCTTGATGAATTTAAGTAAACAGGGGAAGCAAAAACTAAAAAACTATATCAAAACAATTGTTAAAAACTCATTGGACTCACTCAGCCCCGAGGAGTGAGTCCAATGCACGTCTGTTTATACAAAAAGATCTTAAATGGTAAGGGCTTTATTGAAAATGCATGCGTTTGTATAGTAGGAGTCAGACTATATACAATGAGACTTTGACTAAATTAAATGTTCTACCATATTCAAAATGTTTACATCCAAACCATTTGAAAGGAACCAGCAGTATGTTTTTCGATTTGTACTGACCTCTAGTGGCAGCTTTGGAGAACTACAACAATATTTGCAAACTTGTGTCCCCCATTGCATCCCAAATGTCTGTTTGAAAACCAAATTATAGGGTTTTCTTTCTGGGAAATTCACAGCTGATACCAGAGCCTGCATATAAGAATCAAATACTGTATTTATCCCAGGAGAAATTGTTTTAAAAACGTGACAGTAGCTCCATTTTAGAATTACACCTTCCTCGAGCTAGCAGTAAAAACCCAAAGTTAGTGTTCTAATATTTAAAGTAAAATCTATAAACTTGATTTTATTGCACAGGCTGAACAATCCAAGAGTCATTGGATGATTGTAAAATACGTCAAGAAGTGAGCTCCACATTTCAAGGTTACTGTCACTGGTTTTTAAAAGTTTGGGGGCGTGTCCTTCACATCCTCATTTAAAATGGTGTGTGTGTGTGTGTGTGTGTGTGTGTGTGTGTGTGTGTGTGTGTGTGTGTGTGTGTGTGTGTGTGTGTGTGTGTGTGTGTGTGTGTGTGTGTGTGTGTGTGTGTGTGTGTGTGTGTGTGTGTGTGTGTGTGTGTGTGTGTGTGTGTGTGTGTGTGTGTGTGTGTGTGTGTGTGTGTGTGTGTGTGTGTGTGTGTGTGTGTGGTGTGTGTGTGTGTGTGTGTGTGTGTGTGTGTGTGTGTGTGTGTGTGTGTGTGTGTGTGTGTGTGTGTGTGTGTGTGTGTGTGTGTGTCACTGACTGTACATCACACATGACCTCATTAGTGCCGGCAGTTTTATTTTTAGCCCCTCCTCTATTCATCAGCCAAACAGCCGCAGGACACCATTCCTGTCAGCGTGTGCGCGTGTGTGTGTTGGGTGGGTCACATTTCACTGTAATGAGGGGGGTTTCATTTAAAGTGAATATCAGATTTCTTCACATTGGTTTTTGTTGCACTCCATGCATTCAGTGACCCCCTCTTCCATAAAGCAACAAAGGACCTTAGTCTACTGTTAATATCTATATCATATTCAAATACCGTTTCCTGACCGTGTTCTTCCCTCTGATCCCAGGCCAGTGAGCTGGAGGAGCTGCTGGAGGATCTGCAGAGCGGCCAGCAGCAGCAGCTGTTCCCAGGTCAGCCTCCAGTCAGGAGAGCAGCCCCCTCCACCTCTTCCTCCTCCTCCTCTTCCTCTCTACCTCCTGCTCCCCCTGTGGACAAACAGAGCATCATCAGTGACATCCTGCTGATGACGGAGGGCAGCAGCAGCCCCCCCCCCCAGGCCAGAGGCTTCCCGTCCCCCGGACCTGCAGGTACGATGATGATGATTAAGTGATGATGAGTTCAGGGTCCTACAGATGTCATTTTTATCTTATTTGAATTGTTTTGTTAATTTATATTTGTATTACTTTTTTTTGACGATTATACTTACTTAATTTGACCTAAGTAACACTTTCAATGCAGGACTTGTACTTGTACTGTATCTGAGGTAATAGCACTTTTACCTAAGTTAAGCACACTTCCTTATACTCTGATAATAACAGATATGTAATAAAATCATCTCCCTCTCAGCAGGATTTAACGTCAGACCGGTTCAGACGGGCCGCTGCGCTCCGGTCCGCAGCTCGTCTCTGGACAGCTCCGTCAGACCCTTCCCCCCCCAGCACAGAAACACCCCCCCCTACTCCTTACTGCAGCAGCAACAACAACAACAACAACAACAACAACAACAACAACAACAACAACAACAGCAGCAGCAGCAGCAGCAGCAAGCTATGATGGGAAATCATGCAGGAATGGCCAACCAGGCTGCGATGGCCAATCCAGGTCAGGCAGGAAAATAAAAAGTCTTTATCTGTGTTTAGAAAGAGCAGCAGATATTAAAATATGTCAAAGCTCAAAAACAAGTTACTTTAGTCTGAAGTGCATTTCATTTATACCATTATTTTCCCTTTTGACGTCTTTTTTTATTATATTTTTCCTATTTTAAACAAATATTTATACAGATAAAATGTAGTAGTTTAGATTAGATTTCTTTGGTTAGTGTTAGAAGTTGATTAGCTTGTAAATGTTTCTCTCAACGTGAACTCTCTCCAATTCTAGAAGTGTTAGTAATATCTATTCTAAATACTTTCTGTTCAGCCTCTGTTCTCAAGCTCCATGTTCAAGCTAATCAGGGTGTCCCATTTATGAATTTGCTTGATTTTAATTTAATTTAATCGGCTCCCTCTGGACAAGCATAAAGTGCTGTTGTGCAAACACGTTTAAATATACAAACATAGTTACGAATAAAAGCTCTGATATTAAAATAATCCTGGCTGTACAGTCCTTTGGGATACTTTCGTCTTATTATCTGAAATGTCCTCATAGATATTTATTTGTTCTCCTTTTTACCAAAGTGTAATTCCCTCGAAGCACAGGCAGACACAAGTGGCTTTCTCATAACGGGTTTATTCCTCTTCAAATCCTACGTGAAAACTATACATAAGCCGCTTTCCCACCAAGTATTTTGCCGCACTTAGTTCCCAGCACTTAGTTCCCAGCACTTAGTACCCAGCACTTAGTACCCCCATGGAACTAAAGAGCAGATCGCGTTCACACCGGAAAAAGTTCCCTGAGGGAATATTACGCAAATGAAGCCGCTGACGTCACTTCTTCTTCTTCTGCTTTGAGTTTACTGGCAGGCCGCAAACAACTTCACGGCGTATACTGCCACCCGGAGTCTCCGGCCGGAAGTCCCCGGAGTTGGGAAGGCTTCTACTGAAGCCTTCCGAGTAAATCGCCAGAACGCCGACACCTCCTCATCACTCCACCGCTCCCATGTTTTTTTTGTGTTGCCATAAGTTAGTCTCTCTGCGTTTGTGCGCTGGGCTAATGCTAATGCTAATGCCAGCAAATGCAATGGCGGCTTCAAAAAACTTTTCAGAGTTTTACGGGGCGTGGTTTGCAATTCGCCCAGCCAATCAGAAATTGGTACTTTTTTCTCCCCAGGAAAGTACCACCTCTCTAGCAGGGACTAAAAAGGGGGTACAAGTTCTCTGAACTAAGTTCTCTTTTTGGTGTGGACGCAAAATTCCAGGCACTATCGGAACTAAACGGGAAAAGTACGGGGAAAAGTACTCCGGTGTGAAAGCGCCTCTAGACAAACAGTATAAATGACAAACATAGGATCACACTCAAGAACATGTGTAATGTGAGATGACTTTAGCAAAGTAATAAACGTCAAATAAATACAAACACAACAACATACCTCGTTGGCTGCATGCTCTGAAAACAGAGGGAAGTATTCTTAAGTCCTTACAACCTTATTAGCATAAACTTAAACTAGCTATAAAGTGCCCGTGCATCTTAGTTTCTTGTCTCCCTCTCTCTCTAAATCACGCAAGAACAGCTTAACGAAACGTGAGCTTGGACTTTAAAATAAAAGACTCTAAATATTACACACATGAAATATTGCAACAAATAATAATTATTAGACTTAGAAAATACATATTACAGTTAAATGATGAACGGCTACACTTACACAAAGGGAGATCACAGTATATTTAATGCACACCTGATGCATACACAGGGGATCGTTCTAACATGTTGATTTGCATCAGATACCCACCTTCTTCAACTATGAAAAATCATTTCTAAGATTATGAATCGCATGAAATGACTCCAATAATCTCAAAATGTGATTTCTGTTCTCTCCACATCAGGCATGCTGGGTAACGGTGCGATGCGGGGCTCCATGCAGCAGGGCTGGGGTCCCCAGGGGCCGATAGGGGGCACTGCGGGGGGGGGCGATGATGGGCCACGGGGTCGTACAAGGTCGCATGGTGCCCAACCACGGTGCGCTGCCCAACAGAGGGCCGCCGGGATCCAGAACCATGGTCAACATGCAGATGATGGGCAACGGTGAGTGTTGGGAAAATACTGAATGAACTCTTCCAATATACAGAGTTCACATGATAACAAAGGTATCCCAACTGTAGCTGTGTACATGACAGGATGTGTGATTACCTAGAAGAGCATCAGGACTGTTTTAGGCATATGATAGCTATGTGATTAACATGATGATTCAGCTTCTATGGAGATAGACATATGACAAGCATGATCATTTCTGACGTGGAGCTAATCTGAAGTAAACATTGAATACTGCTTTCTATTCCTCCATCTTGTGACTGTGTAACTCCCTCTCTTGGATATCAGCATGTGAAGGACACTGTTCAGGAACTAGTTGATGCTCTGTATGTGATGACTACTTCCATTCTTGAGAGGATCACAGATACATGGATCCTGAGATTGAAGAAAGATTTTGAGAAAGTCATAATTGTTAGATTTAGCGAAAAAGTCCTAATTTTTTAGATTTTGCGAAAAAGTCAGAATTTTGCGAAAAAGTCAGAATTTTGAGAAAAAGTCTGAATTTTGAGAAAGTCAGAATTTTGAGAAAAAGTCAGGATTCAGATTTTGAGGAAAAAGTCATAATTTGGAGAAAAAAGTCAGAATCTTAAGATTTTGAGAAAAAGTCAGAATTTTGCGATTTTCTGAAAAAAGCCAACATTTTGAGAAAAAACTCAGTATTTTGTACATGACAGGATGTCTGATTACCTACAAGAACCGATATTCCTCCATCTTGTGACTGTGTAACTCCCTCTCTTGGATATCAGCATGTGAAGGACCTAGTTGATGCTCTGTATGTGATGACTCCTTCCATTCTGGAGAGGATCAGAAATACATGGATCCTGAGATTGAAGCTCAAGCCGGGGACGAGTGATATGTTTCTAACAGTGAGGGGGGAAAGCAAGAAATTAGGAAAGTCTATATATTAAATGTGAGGATTTTCTGACTTTTAATGTGCTTTTTCTCCCCTGCAGAAATGGAGATGGCTGCCCCCGCATACCCTCATCAACAAGCGCCGCCCAATCAGACGGCACCGTGGCCAAACCGAATGATAGCCATGGATCACTATGGAAACCAAAGCAGGTATGGCATTTATTTTATAAAACAAAAGAAGATGTCATCCAATAAAAATGTATTCATGAGCAGCAGCACCTTGAATGCCCCGAGACATTTTTATTCAGCTTTTAATTAACAGTATCCCCTTTACCTTTTAATGTTTTTTATATGTGTTTGCTTATTTTATATTTTTATAATTTTATTTTATAATTATTTAATTTCTTTAGGATTTTTATTTAAACATTTATTTAACTGAGTGAGTTATTTATTGTTAACTTTTAGATTATCTCATTTATTTATTTATCTCCTGTTTACCCTGTGTTATCAGACACATTGTTAAATCACTCCGAGCTGCATCCTGTATACTTAACAGTACTAATAAAGCTTTATTATAATAACACCAATTGTCCCTCCAGGCCACCGTACCAGGAGGACGGGCTGCGGTGCTGCGAGGCCCCCCCCGACGAGAGAGCGCTGCTGAACCAGCTGTGCTCCGTGTTGAAAGACTACGAGGGTCTGGAAGAGATCGACAAGATGCTGGGGATCCCAACGCTGGCTGGACAGGTGAGACCCTCCAAACCGTTGTTGGGTGCCTTGCTCAAGAAATATTTTGAGAAAGTAATAATTGTTAAAATTTTCCAATTTTTTTGGTTTTGCGAAAAAGTCAGAATTTTTTGGTTTTGCGAAAAAGTCAAAAAAAAATTATTTTGCGAAAAAGTCAGAATTTAGATTTTGAGAAAGTCAGAATTTGGAGATTTGGAGAAAAAGGGTTAAACCCTAACCCTAACCCCTAACCAGGAGGTGAACTAGCAGTACACACTCCATATTTAGGTCTGTTCGAGGACCCTACGGCTCACAGTCCAAGCCCCTACTGACTGAGCCACTGCCGGACTATAATATATACATATATAGATAAGATAAGATAAGAAGTACTTGTGTAAAAATATCACCTGCGGCATCAATCTAAATGCTGGGGGTCTACACTGCAAAAACCATACACTCGCATTCAACCTCTTAACGTGATATAATGAGCGTTAAGCTCCAATAATGGATCAATATTAAACAATTGGAAAGTTAACAACATGGCAGACACTCTCTAACAAAATGCTGCTTAAGAGAGATGCTGTACTTGGTACTTGAAATGCCTTGTGTTGAAAGGTGCGTGATAGTGGCGATAAAAGCGAAAGAACATCTGACACAAATATGTTGATACAAATAACATGTTTTGATTCCTCTTCCCCCCCCCCCCTTCCCCCCTGCAGGGTCACATGTCAGAACAGTACCTGGTCTCCTCAGATCACAACATGAAGCCCCTCCATTACTCCCAGCACTACGGAGACCCCCCTGGTTACGGCTCCATGACTCATGATGTGGGGTACCACGGCCACATGGGGAGGATGCCCCCTGCTGGGTACCCCCCTATGATGAGGATGCCGGGGGGGCCCCGAGCGGGGGGGATGAGGCCGGTGGGGCCCAATCCTGGGGGGCCGCAACCCAACAACCTGAGGCTCCAGCTGCAGCACCGCCTGCAGGCTCAGCTGGTGGGTGGCAACAAACATTCTTTTCTTTCTGATGTTTATTGACAGCAACTTGGAACCAAACACATTTAAGATAAGGTACAAATAAAGGCCCAGCTGGTTGGTGGCAACAAATATTTTACTTTTCCAAATATTCCCTTTACCCCACCCTTCATCTTCCCTCACCCTCCTCTCAATTCAAGTTGTGTTAAATCTCGTTACCGCAGTATCCGCACAAAAACCACCGGACTCCGGGTCAGTTTTATCCCACAGGCCATAGAGAGGCCGGGGAGCTCCATGGGACCTTATTTCGGAAAAAGTATGTATTGAAGTCAATGGGGAGAGAAAAGTTATCTTTTGAACCCGTTTGAATTGAGCCATGAATTACACATATGATGTTTGTCAATTTAAAAGATAATTTTGCAAGTCAAAAAAATCTAAATGTGTCGTAAAACTGTGAAGTAACACTTTTTTGTGTGAAACCGCTCAATGAACTACATCTCCCGTCTCGCACCACACACCAAGACGGCCGTCACGTTGGCACATTTCACTTCTTTCTTTCAGAATGAGGCGAAAAGTATTAAAAGAGGTGAAAATCACTACAAGTCTGGGCATGTTGAGAGCTGTACATACACACAAGGGGAGTTAGTCGGTTTGTAAGAGCCAGCATGCGGGACCGGGATTCTGGGATTTGTAGTCTTTCTAGTTGCGTATTTTTCATAGTCTTATATTTCAACAGTTTTACGACAAACTGTGACTTTTTTTGACATGGAAATTATTATTTAAGATTGACAAACATCATATGTGTAATTCGTGGCACAATTCGAACGGGATCAAAAGATAATCTTTCTCTCTCCATTGACTTCAATACATACCTTTTCAGAAATAAGGTCCCATGGGTCGGAAGTAGATGGGCGGGACTTCGCCTCTCTATAAGACTGATAAACACCTGAACTCTGTGAAGTGCCCCGATAAACATTCCTGTTGTGATCTTGCAATCTACTTGTTTATATAAATAGTTATCACCGCAATAAACCGTATTTAATTTGGTCTTAATTAACATTATTTTATTTCATATTCTGTTCTTGTACATGTATAGAGATTTTTTATTTTCTATTTTTGTATTTTATTATATGTTGGATTGTTTGTAAGAGATCCTCCAACAGTGCAACACAATAAAACAGATAACATAGTTGCAAGTAAATACAAATCAAATAGAAATAGTGACATCCCAGCGCTATAACATGTCCTCAGTTATCCTCCATGCGTCCCTGCTTCAAACATTTGACATTATTTTCTTTCTGATGTTTATTAACAGCAACGTGGCAAACACATTTAAGATAGGATAAGTTAAGATGGAACTTTATTGATCACAGTAAAACGTTGAGCATGTGTATGAACATTTTAAATATATGTGACACTAACATAATACTTTGAAACTATAATTATATAATGCTTCAGATGGTGACATTGGATTAGATTAGATTAAATGCAGTTGAGGCTACATTATGTTCCCATATATGGGTTACAGGTTGTTGCATATAAGATATATGGTTGTGTAAATATGAGGTATATATTTACAGATAGGGGGTGGGGTTTAAAGAGGACAAATAATGCTCATTTTCAGGTATTATAGTTAGTATTTTGTGTGTGGGAGACAGACTCGTTTTTGATGCAGACCATTTACATGCACTAAAACCTATATAACACACTACAGGAGAGGTACAAACCCCGAAAAGCAGAATATAATCTCTTTAAGTGCGTCATTTCTATAGAAAAAACCTTCTCATCCATACTGAGAACAATCAAACCGTCTCCTTTTGCTTGTTTTCGTCTAACTGTGATGCCAGCGGGGTTCAGTGAGTTTGAACAGCAGCAGCCAGAGAGAACACACAGCTTCAGCTTTCTGATTCATCAGCTGCTCCCTGCTGCTCGCACACTTAACAATGAACACACACCCGACATGTGTACACACACACACACACACACACACACACACACACACACACACACACACACACACACACACTCAGAACGTTGATTGCACCCTATGTTCCCATAATGTTCCTCTTGTGATTGCAGATCCCTTTTGTTCTATTATTGTCTGCAAGTGTTCTGAATTAATGCATTTAGTTTCGGAGTACTTTGTGTCATAATGTCTAAGGACCCCCATACATACTACATATCAAAGGGGGTTATCACTAATGTGTTATTCACTCCATATTAACTGTACAGGTTTAAGTGTAGACCGCCACCTGGTGGAGAGTTAAGGGAGAACTAGAATAGCAACTAAACTAAGTGGTGATTGATGTGTTTTATAATGTCTGAATGTATTTTGCTGTCTTCTGTCATTTTGCTTTGAGATTAATAAAGTTTTCTGTATATCTTTCTGTAGAACCGTCAGCCAATGGGGAACCAGTTGAGTGGCGTGTCCAACATGAATCTACCTCTAAGATCTAATGTACCAAACCAGGTCAGTGTGTGTGTAATTTATTTTCTGTGTGTATTAAATGTGTTCTGTGTTTATGTAAAAGCACTTTGTAACTCTGTTTGAAAGGTGCTGTATAAATAGTTAGTGCAAAAGCTTCTGCAGATTAATTTAAATCACAAGATTATTGTGATGTTTAGGTTTAATTACACATTAGGATGAACAATAATGGCTATCAATCAGTGCTAAACTCTTGCATTCACATGCTCCTCAGAAACACAGCTGAGTTGAAAACGACTTTCTTTCAACTTTGGTGTGTTCACAAGCTTAAATAGGTAATGTGGGAACAACATGGATGTTACAAATGTGTTCGAATTGTAGTTTACATGAATTTACGGAGTTGGGTGCCCTATTTTGCAATGTTAACAACAGTAAAACATAATTAGTTCACAAATGTGCTCCAAAATGTTAGGGATGTTCCTTGGTCCATGCCACATCCTTCCACCACAAGAAAAGAAAAATCAGGCTACTAGTTTCATCCTGCAGATAACAAAAAAATACTGAGCCTAATAAAACCTCTTTATACTTCATACCACACTAAATTGATCAAATGCAAATCGGTGCAGACCTGACAGGAGGTGCTTGAGCCAATTATAAAACTAAGAGTCTTATTTTGGTCCGTTTTCATTTGATTGAAGTTTCACCTTGGTGGGTTACTTGAGTAAAGAAGTTTAGTCAGTACTTCTACTTTTACCAGAGTATTTTTAAACATGAGTATCTGTACTTCTATTTGAGTAAAGGACGTGTGTACTTTTGCCATCTCTGCCAATCACTGACATGTCAAAGTGGTGATTGTTACTCAGTGTATTGTATAATGTCTGAATGGCTTAAGTCCCTCCTAAGAGTCTTGTTTTTGGCCCGTTCATTATATTGAAGCTTCCCCTCACTCGGTGTCTGTCTGCAGGGAACCCTGAACGCACAGATGTTGGCCCAGCGTCAGCGCGAGTACCTCAGTAACCACCTCCGGCAGCGGCAGCAGCAGCAGGTGGTCCAGCAGCAGAGAGCCATGATGATGAGGACTCAGGGTGTGCCCAGTGGGGGGTCCGCTCCCACGCCGATGCCCATGGGAGGCACCAACCCTCGGCTCCCCCAGGGAAACCCTCAGCAGTTCCCCTACCCGGCGTCCAGCTACGGTACCAACCTGCCCTCTCCTCCTCCTCCTCCTCCTCCACCTCCTCATCCCGGCTCTTCCAGCCCCTTCTCCTCCTCCCCTCTCTCCCCCAGCCATCACTTGGCTAGCCAGGGCATGATGGGAAATGTAGGCGGACAGTACAGCGGGGTTATGAGTCCTCCGTCTCAGCACAGTGCCTACCAGTTCAGCAGCTCAGGTATTTCTTCAGAGCGCCGACTCAGCGTCACATCCTTTCTGTTTGTTGTGGTGGCGGCAGTCCAACATAATCATTTTTGTTTTAATCATTCGTCCTCTTTTAAGTTGATTGGGTTCAAGGTTGAATGATCAAACTTTTTGTCTTTGTTCCATAACATGTTCTGCTTTTACACTCACATATTTCTTTGTTTAGGGTTTTGACCCTTATCCAAACCATTCACTCTGCATATCAGGATGTTTGTGAAGGAGATGTATATAGTGGTGATACTGCTGAACTAAACATCTTGCCTATATTTGTGTTCATGTATGTGTCTTTAGTCCATGTTTAAGAGGCACGCCCTCTTAATCAAATTGAATCACAAACAAAAAAGGTTCTTCTGGAACTTTTAGATATCTGAAGTAAAGACAGGTTCCTGAATATTTTCTACAAACGTTTGCATCAAAAGTTCAGTTTTCAAAGAGCCTTTTGACTTAGGCAATAGCTTTTGGGGTTATTGAGCTTTTTAAAATGAGTTTAGGTAAGCTATTAGGTAGATTGTTGGTCTTTTAATTGTAATATCAACTTAATTAAAACCTGGATGTTAAGCAAAGATTCGAAACATATTGAAATGCCAGCACTGATTTTTCTGGCTTATCATTTCCATTCGTCTTGTCTGTGTGTAGTTTCGTATGCCTTTCAATACAATACAATACAAAGGGGCTTTATTGGCATGACCACGTTTAAAAATAGTATTTCTAAAGCATTCCGCACAAGGCGTTATTTCCTTCAATATGTCTGACTCCTTTCTAACGATATAAGAGGAGAATAGGAGTAAGGTACCTAACTGACTACAGATACAAATCACAAGGTACTTTGTAGATGATATGTCTCTTAAGCGTCGGATTATCTTACCTTCATTTTCTGACCCTTTTATAATAATAATAATAATAACTCATTCTATTTACCGTAGAGGCGCCTTTCAAAGCACCCAGGGACACCTTACAATTCATAAAATATTCTAAGGAAAGGTTTAAGACAGTACAAAAGGACCGGGGACATGTAGCACTTCAGTGAGTAGGCTGATCTGAACAGGTGGGTTTTGAGGAGGGACTTGAATGTGTTTTATCTGCTCCGATCTGCAGGAATGAGTCAGCAGCAGCGTCAGGATCCAGTGTCAGGGTTCCCATGTGGGGCAGCGACCCCTCAGAGCCCCCTGCTGTCCCCCAGGATGCAGCAGGGGCAAAGTCCCATGATGCAACAGCAGAACCAGGGCCAGCCACAGAACCAGAACCAGGGTCCGAACCAGAGACTCCCCGGGTACCAGCCCAGCAGCGCGTGGACCCAGTCGGCCAACATCTCCACCAGCAACAGGTAACAACAGTTAATTTTTTTATGCATGCTTCTTAGTTAACATTAAGCTGTCTTTGGCTATTTTCTGGTGTAACAAATGTCCTCTCTGTGGGACGAATAGGTATTCTGATTTTGATTAAAGGTCGGGTATGTAATTTATTTCAGAAACACTTTTTGTTATATTCCATGGAATGCTCTTAACATCCCGATAGCAATGAATATATTAAATGCTTTGACAAAAAATACATAAAAAATGTCATCTGTGGAAGCTGTAGTACTGTAAAAAGCACGACCAATCATCTGAGCCGGCCCGGCTAAAATAACTGGATGGCCTACCTGCCTGTCAGCCTTCCATCTGTGCACAAACTTATCTCGTGCCCTCATTGGTCATGTGCGCGTTCGTGTGTGTTGGAGGAGGGGCTCTGTAAGGAAGTGGCAGATTTTCTCCGGTTGTGTATTTTCAAATTCTAGCGCACTCGAGCCGGTTTCTCCAAAATTACCTACCCCACCTTTAACTTCTATATCATTATTATTTCACTGATAGTATTGTAATATTAGATTCCAGTGGTGGTTGTGTGGGATGTTTTCCAGATTGTGTAATCGAAACCTGTCCAATAATTGCATAAAGCTTTCCAAAACAACATTTATTGATCAAAAGATAGATGTTATCATTTCCAAAATTCCAATATTCTGCTTAAATCCACATTTGATGCCGTCTAGCCTTTCAAAAACAAAATGTCTACTGCTGTCAAAAAACTGTTTGTGGCACACATTGTTTTAATGAATTTGTACTCTGTAAAGTGTCTTTGAGTTTCAAGAAAAGCGCTCTATAAATAAAATGTATTATTATTATTATTATTACATGTATCAACTGGTTGTTCCAGCAGCATAAATTACATACTCTACACACAATAACAAAACAACTTTTTATGGATATTCTACATATTTGACTGTGTTTCCCTCCTTGCAGTGTGTACCCGCAGCAGTCCCAGTCGCAGTACTCCACACAACCCACCGCAGGAATGTATAATAACCCCAACACCATGAACCTGGGAGTGATGGCAGGCAGCAGCGGGGGAAACATGAACCAGATGCCAGGACAGATGAGCTCCATGAACACAGAGCAGGTGAGGGAAAGCTTTTTATTGTAGCGGCCACACTTATAGAAATGAAACAGATAATTAAGTTACAATAACACTGCCGCTGAGGAACAGGCAATGATCCAAGTCCAGACAAGAATGTCAATGTCAAATATGATCCGATATCATTAACAATGAACAGGTTTCCTAAGTTTTGTTCCTTAAGCCTTTCCTATGGCTTTCCTTTCTTGTGGCTGGAAACACCCTGGTAAAAAACCATGTGCCTACTAGTGCTCTGTTCACACCACCACCTGTCTCCAATATATATACAATTACACCAGTGTTTCTCGATCGCGAGTACGCTTGCTTGGTAGCACATGTCTTCCGAGCGTCTTGCTTCAGAAGCGAGTCAAGAATACTTCCTTCCCCCGGAAAACGAAGAATGGAACAGGCGAGCAAGTGTGCAGGTGTGCGTCATATGAGAGGCCCCGCCTTACATTTTCCACCACAGATTTGGGGAAATTGGTCCGTGCGCAAAGCATTGTGGGGATTTTAAGACCGCGGAGTCTACACATGTGCAGCCTCGAAATGTCTCCAAACGAAGTACGCCGGGCTCGGTAGAATTCCAAGTATGCTGGAGATTGGAACAGTACTTCGGCGGCACTCGATGACGTAGTATGCTTGAAATAGTGGCTCCGGAGCAGCTTTACTCGTGATTGAGAAACACCCCAGGTGCTCTAATCCCCCAGTGCCCAAAACTGCCTTCAAAATAAAAGCATAGAAACTACTTTAATAACAACAATAACTAAGAATAAATGTACTATAAACAGCAAGAAAATATATGTTTAAGTATTAAATAATATATAGCAATATATAGCTCCAACACCTATTAAACAATTGGGTACCACTTTACAATAAGACTACCCTTATAAAGGCTTTAAGAATAGTTTGTAATTCATTTAATAATTAGCTTGTGAACACTTTATAAATCATGAATAAGCTTTTATAAGACATGAGATAAATAGGGCGACTGTGACCGGTTGCTTGCCAAATAGTGAGCCCACATTTATCTGTACTGCTAAGCCTTATATTGGCTACCTAGCTTACTTCGTCTTCTTCATCAGCCAGCATCCTTGGTATCTGTTGTTCACTGAGTTGATTCTCGCTGAGTAGCCAATATAAGGCTTAGTCATCTTGCCAAATAGTGAGCCTGTGTTGATGTATGAAAACTATGTTAGAACTGGTTTATAAATGGTTCTTAATGATTAATAAAGTGTTTACAACCTAATTAATAACCTAATTATAAACCCTTTATGAATCCTTTATAAGGGTAGTCTTATTGTAAAGTGGTACCAACAATTGTTCTTGTTTTCGGTCTGACGAAAGAAGACTATTGTCCAAATTATTCCTTTCTCAGTGAACAGGAGTTATAATGTCCTGTTAGCAAGCGTGCTCATGTTTGTTGTCATCTTCCTGCTACAGGTGGAGGACGGCAGTCTGATCCTGGAGCAGCTGGCCGGGATGGAGATGTTGACGCAAGAGAGTGAAGCCAGTTCTGTAAGTTAAAGATTTGCACACATTAACTTATCGTCTCATTTAGTTTTAAATCTGTAAATAAATATGCTGTTAACATACTATGAGGACAAATGTCTACTGCTTTCATGTGTCAGAGCTTGTGTAGCTATACATAATGTTCACGTAACATTTAGCAAAAATGCCTTTTCATTAGATCTATACGAAGTTAGCTTTACAGTACATGTTAAGGACAATCACACAACAGTTTAGTCAATATAAAAGGACAGAATGAGAATTATTACACACCCAAAAGCCATCATAATGCAGTAGAAAATCACACTTCGATCAGAAAATAATGAAATGATTCCACTGTTGCTCACTACAAAGTCTTGTTCTCCAACCACTGGATGCACATATTTTCTTCACAATCGTTTTCATTGATAATTAATGTGATTTTCTGTCTTTTTATAGAATTTCTGCTGACCCCGGCTGTGTTTAAGACAAGGTAACACAGGAGAAATGCAAAAACGTAACTTTGCTCATGGAGAATTAACGAGAAGTTGAGGAAACATGATGTAAACATTGCTCCCTCTGTCACACCAGCCAAATCTGAGGCAAAACAGGAAGATGACAATACTGTAAATGAGAGCGTACACATGTGTGAGAAACTGGAACAACAGTTTGAGAAGAGATTGGTTGACGAGCATAAGTGAAACCTCTGGATTTGATCTTTCTATGGTTCTATTTGAGAGCCTGACTGAAAAAACATTGAATAACAATGAAGAAATATTTTACAGGTATTTATAGTTTTGAAGAAGTTTTAGAGATTATTTGTATTTCATTAAAAAAAATCAAGGATATCTTTCTTTAAGAAAATCTCAGAATGGTACATTATGATGTCGATTTTAAATTTTAATATATTTCAACTGCTGTAGTTACAGGGGAGCTGTATCCCTATTTAATGACTTTTTGAATGAAGGTGAATGTGTATAGATAGTGTACATACTTAGATTTGAAATGCCCCTTTTCCTCTATGTGGCATTGTTTAACAGCAGTTTGGAGTTTTAGTCCAATGAACATCTGTCGGGAGCAGAACTATTTATTTGGTTTAATGAGACCTCAGTGGGTAGAGCTCAAGAAACACAAATGGAAAAATAGAAGGTCAATTAATCTGGCATAAACTAATCAGTAACCTTGCCTGGGTATTATGCTAGTCTCTCTTAGCTAGAAATAAGCTATCTAATGCTATTTTAATTGACCTCATTTGAATATGAAAGTCTAAACATCTAAACTCACTAGCTACCCTTAATCTAGTTTGAGTTTAGCTTACGAGATAGCCCAATTGACGTTGTTTCAGGTAAGCTAAATAGATAGCCTTCTTACCATGGCTTCAGATAAGCTAACTAGATAGCCTTCTTACCATGGCTTCAGATAAGCTAACTAGATAGCCTTCTTAACATGGCTTCAGATAAGCTAACTAGATAGCCTTCTTAACATGGCTTCAGATAAGCTAACTAGATAGCCTACTTAACCTAGTTCCAGCTAAGCTAAATGATACCTTTCTTGACATGGTTTCAGAAAAGCTAACTTGATAGCCTTCTAAACATGGTTTCAGCTAAGCTAACTAGATAGCCTTCTTAACATGGCTTCAGATAAGCTAACTAGATAGCCTTCTTAACATGGCTTCAGATAAGCTAACTAGATAGCCTACTTAACCTAGTTCCAGCTAAGCTAAATTATACCCTTTTTGACATGGTTTCAGAAAAGCTAACTTGATAGCCTTCTAAACATGGTTTCAGCTAAGCTAACTAGATAGCATACTTAACCTAGTTTCAGCTAAGCTAACTAGATAGCCTACTTAACCTAGCCAACATTCATTTGCCAATTGGTACATACATTAAAATGTCCCTACAGTAAATGAAAATTACTAATCAACTCCATCATCAGGTCAAAACAGTAATTTGTCCAAAAACCTGCATAGCCTACAATGGCATTTCCATTACTGTTTATCAGCAATAGCTAGCATGCTGACACACTTAACTCAATGGTGAGAGTCTTAGCATGCTAGCAATTGCCTGATATTTACATTTATAGAATAACACGAGACCTGGTAAACATTAGATATCTGTAGACACGTTATGTTGACTTTCAGACATAAATTGTTTGTGTGCTCTACCTACTGAGGATTAAACCAAATAAATAATTTCTTCCTCTCAAGCAGCTTTGCCTCTAAAAGAAATCTGTATACTAATAAAACTCCACGCTACTGTGATTCTTTTCACTACCTGCAGGAGTTCACAGGCATTTATATGAAGCTCTCAGTCTGCTGAAGGATAATTCAGACGTTTGTAGTTTGTTGTTTTGGGACTTTGTGTGGGTGAAGCTGTGATCTCTACATGACAAGACAGTCTCAATTTAAATCAATCAAATTAAAACCAATTCAGAGGGATGTTAAATGCAGAATGAGTAAGATTGTGTTAAAAAAACAACACATATAAATGTGTGAGGATGAAATACAGCTGTCGACAACATCCTACTTCAAGGATGATCTGACCTCAGCCATAAACAGATTATTGGTCCTGAATCCAAATGTTATATTTAATGAAGGTGACCCAGAATCTTTAACACCCAAAGTGTGTTACTCGGGACTATTTGGCAACAGGTGCTCTCTATATGTATAAGGTGCTGTCTTGTATAAGCTTTTAAATTAACAAAATGTGGACGTCTACTTCACATGGTCCAAAAATCTGTTAAGCACATACTGTAACCATAGTATGACTTTTTTTCTGGAAAGAAGAAGGTGAAAATGAAACACTGAATTATTTTACAATGATGTTTCCTTCATGTCCATCTTGCATATTGTACTCCAGTGTGCTAGCATATTGTAAAAATCCCAAATATGTTATCAAAAACCTCGAAGAGTAAATGTAAGCCATGGAAATGTCCTGAATGTGAAACTCTCTGCAAAGGCAATCAAGAGCGAAACTCATGTACAGTACTAATAATATTTTACTGACTGATACAGTATACATATATATATATATTGAAGATTTTTAGATGAATATTTTATCAATTGCAAAATACTGTATTTCCTGTAAGTACCTTAAGATGAAGCATCATGCCTTAGATCTGTGAACTGTAACTGTAAGCTTGACAGGTGAATTCATTCTGTCACTGAGTGAGCGTTTCACCACTTCATACATAATTATAAGTGTAATAATTAGACGGCCAGGGTTTTTAGATTTCTCCCCAAAAATCCTCACAAAACAACCTGTGTATCAACTCATGGAAATACAATAATACTGTGTTGGCAGTTGCTTTTTTGTTATTGTAGTTAAACTGTATATCTCCACAATGCATCAGGTAGATTCTCCTTCACTAACACTGTTTATTTTGTATTTCTTTTAAAGGGCATTTATATAATATTTGACTTTTGCTGATTTATGTTGGTCCCCAGTATACTGTATATACAGTATATACTTGTGATAGAATTTGAGCTACGGTGGCCTGTATTTGACAAAGTTATTTAACCGTAATGCAAGACGACTCCTGAGATAATTAGGGTACCATTTCTGACATAAAATGCTTCAAAATATCTATATTTTACACAGAAATCAATGTAAAATCAATGCGGACAGCTGAGGAGATTTCATATAGAAACCCGTTTTTGAATGTTTCAGTTTCTCCACATCTTTTTTTGCAAACCTCTAAAGAGAAACGTTAAAACTGCTACATTTTGCAGACGTTATAAGAAGTTTTGACCCAAAAACTTTCATTATAGGTTAAACTAATTAAATGCACCTGAAAAAAAATCAATTATATTAAATTAAAGGTCTGTAAAAACAAACAGCTAATTCTTATTTGGGCGTTTAAGTTATATTTCAGTGAGATCTTTTTCAATATTTTTCAACATTTTATAGTTTTTTAGTTAAAAGCCTCTACACTAGGTCTTTAAAGTGACAGTAGAGTCTTTAAAATACGCTTATGGCATTAGTTGTTTAAATGGTGCTGTCAAAAAGCAATTCTGACAGGACGTTTTTATTTAATTTAATACAGCTAGTCCAGTTAGATAGATGTAAAATGAAGGACATCTCAGAAACTGTTGAAATAATCATGAAGACATTATTTTGTTTGTGATATAAGTCAAACACACCCCTTTTTAGAATATCTTTTAATCACACTTGTGAATTATGCCACTGTATAAAAGTTGTCTTTGTGATCAGCTGAAAGTGTTTTAGGGTAACATTTTAAATCAGTGCGATGTGTGATGAAGATGTTCAGATTTTCCAACACACACACACAGATCATTCAGAGTGTGTGTGAGGGTTTTATTATGCAAAAGTCCAGACGTTCACACCACTTTATGCAAGCTGTCGACTCTAATGTTGCTTTTGCCAATGCTGCTGTTAATTTATGATTCATGCCACTGTAAATAAATTATTTTTATTGAGCGGGACTGCCTCTGTCTTTTTTATTTCATCCACTATAGAGAGTAAATCAACTCTCAAGTTACACCAGTTTTTACATGTCTATTTTATATGAGAAATAATGCACTGCAGAAGTAACACTTGCTGCCAATCACATGAATGAAAAGACCTTAATCCACCTACAAAATATTACTTATACATAACTTATACACAGAGGTGTAAAGTAACTCAGTTCATTTACTCAAGTACTGTACTTAAGTACAATTTTGAGGTACTTGTACTTTACTTGAGTATTCCAATGTTTCGCTACTTTGTACTTCTACTTCACTACAGTTCAGAGGTCAATGGTGTACTTTTCCTCCACTCCATGTATTTAATACCTTTAGTTACTTCACAGATGTGGATGAATGATGTGAAATATAATCAAGTGTTAAATCAGACTTTAGTTCCACCTGGAGTAAATTCACAAGCTACCCTGCAGTATACAAAGTCATTCAAACTAGCTGCACCTTTACCAGCTTTGAGAACACTTTAATGATCAATCATTATAAAACATATCATATATATTATTCTGAAATGGACCAATCTGCACAATTACTACTTTTACTGTCGCTACTTTAACTATATTTTGATGATAATACTTTTATACTTTCACTTGAGTAACATTTTGAATGCAGGACTTCACCTGTAACAGAGTATTCATACACTCTGGTACTTCTACTTTTACTCAAGCACAAGATCTGAATACTTCTACTTTTACTCAAGTACAAGATCTGAATACTTCTACTTTTACTCAAGTACAAGATCTGAGTACTTCTACTTTTACTCAAGCACAAGATCTGAATACTTCTACTTTTACTCAAGTACAAGATCTGTGCGATTCTCTCTTTGAAGCAGCAGGGGGCGACATCCATCAAGAATTTGCATAGCAGCACTTGTTGCATGAATTGTTCCATCTGTTCCCTCCTGAATGTTCTTAAGATATTAATGTCATGTCACATTATTCATCTTTAAGGCAATTTAAGTTCCAAAAATATAAATATTCTTACTTTTACAGATGGAAATACCAAAATAAAATGTAGGGGACAAAAAAATATTCCAATCCCTTTGGATGATTAGATTTGTAATTTGTTTGAACAATGTATAATAATCTGAATTAATCTTTTCTTTTTTGGCCTGTGTATGAATATGCTCTAAATTGTGTGTTGGAGCATCTATATGCACATGTATTTGCTTGAATTCAATACACAAGAAAACTATAATGCTTGTTTTTCTTGGCTTTTGCAACTTCTATCCGGGCCCAATCTCCCTGTTTAACAAATCTGCTTGAGTAAAGCGTGCCCTTAATATGTCCCCTTGATTTTAACTTTGGCTAGCTTCGAAGTAGAAGATAAAATACCATATTACGCCACACACATATGTATTATACTTGCTTGTATAGGCCTATAGGTGCATATTGGAGATAATAATGAAATCTAATAAGCCACAGTTTTTACAATCAAAATATAGTTCAATCAGGAGAGACTTAGTTCGTAGTTGATAACATATTTATTGCCGTATGCACAATAACGTTTTGGAGATTAGACCCCATCATACTGTGATGAATTAAGGGGGAGGAGAAGCCGACTAGAAAAGAGAAACCCCCCGGGGGCTAGACACTGGTGGTGGTGAAGTACTAAAAGGAAATACAAATCCGGAGTGATGAGGGTTCTTCTGGGCTAGCCTGCATTGGATCTGATGAAACTGGAGGTGGAGGAGGGTTGCATCAATTCTCCTGAACATTGCTGGCAAGGGAGAGAAAGAGTAGATTTTAACGTTTGCCGGGTGTGCTGTGATTGGCTGTGGGGATGAGACGCAACCGATTGGTTTAGCTGGGGGTTGCACCCTTGCTTATTGAGAGAAAGGGCGAGTGAGTGAAAGAGAATTGTGAATGAGAGCGTGGGAACCAGTCTTCCTGAAAGAACTTGCGCTGAGCTTAATTTAAAGTACCACAAGTGAAAGTAGTCATTATGCAGATTGGTCCATTTCAGAATAATATATATTTTGTGTTTTATAATGATTGATCATTAAAGTGTTCTCAAAGCTGGTAAAGGTGCAGCTAGTTTGAATGACTTTGTATACTGCAGGGTAGCTTGTGAATTTACTCCAGGTGGAACTAAAGTCTGATTCAACACTTGATTATATTTCACATCATTCATCCACATCTGTAAAGTAACTAAAGGTATTAAATACATGTAGTGGAGTAAAAGTACACCATTTACCTCTGAATTGTAGTGGAGTAGAAGTACGGAGTAGCATACTTAAGAACATGTCCTTAGTTACTTTACACTACTGCATTTGGAGAGCTGTGGTGCAGTCCTATGTCTAGGGAACTTACCATATGCACATCTACATATACAAGAGCCAAAACAACACGTAGGCACTCACTAGCTCTGTTACTTTCCCTCTTCTTTGTGGAGAGGAACTTGAAACGGTTCCAGCACCGGATGTTCTCTGTGTGGTTCCTCCGACCTAATCACACAGCAGCAGGACTTACTCTCAAATAACCTTTTGTCAGTAATATACAACTATGAAATATAACACAATCCGACAAGTATGAGATGCCATACTGTGTTTGGAAAGAAGCCGTCACATTGAATTAAAGCCAAGATTGCTGAAGGTCAATAACTTCTTGAAGGTCAGGAAGTATGTTTACTTCTCAAGGGTAAAACAAATAAGTTGTAACTATGATTACATACAGATATAACAACATTGGAATATTGTTTAGATAGTACACTTTACAAAGTGACTGATTAGTGCTCAAATAAAGTTTAATACAAAAAATGGGTTTTTATTTTTACATTCAAAGTCTTTGTTGCTACCATTAGATAATTATCCTACTAATGTATGTCCTTTGTGTTGCAACATGTCAACTTTAATGCTGTTAAATGACTTTTGTGTGTGTTTCACTAACAGATAAACTGTTACTGGAAGCGTATCATTTCCTGACTGCGGAAATATGCACAGTCTGGGCTGCAAGTGGTTGGAGTTAGTTTCCGCAGTACGTGATCTGGACGCCCATTGGTTAATTCACCTGTCAGTCACGAATTCTCATCTCTCATTGGCTCTCTGCGGTTTGGCTCAGAATCCCGGTTCGTGAGGAACAAAGAGGGCTAAAAACTGTGAAGACGTCTCACATGGCCTAGTTTTAAAACAATAAAAACAATAATAATAATAATACATTTGATTTATATAGCACACTTTAAAGACAACATCATCTCAAGGTGCTTCACAAAGCTATAAGGAAAAATAAGTAAAAAGATATCTAAAGGAGCATATTGGATAAAATATGGCAATATAAAAAAATTATATTATATTCTATTATATTCAGTATGTAATTATTCTGTTTAGGTCAGGGGTGTCAAACTCAAATACACAGTGGGCCAAAATAAAAAAATGGGTACTTGTCGAGGGCCGGACTGGTTCAATGTTTATTACAAAACGTATTGAAATGAACTTATTGCACATATTAAACATGGAACTAACTTAAATGATTGCCTATAAAAACAATATTAAACATTAAATAATCAGTTGCATTCATTTCTTATGGCTCTATCTGCAGCTTTTCTGGAGTCATTTCTTATGATTACATTTTTCCACAGGCCAACAACAGCTTCAAAAAAACTATTTCCCTCAAAGAAAAAACCAAACATGCCCTGTTGTCTCAAGAAAGAAAGTGCAGAAGGAAACATCCATGTGAACTCAGTGTGCTGCTCTGTGATGCTAGTTCAAGCCAGATACTTGGCATCTCATCTTGGGTGCAAGGTCATCAATGTTTGGGGTCAGGCTCTGAGCTGAGGAAATCCTCAGGATTGAGTGAAGGTGTGCGTGCAATATACCGGCGGGCCAGATCTAATAGTAATTATAAATTATCCTGCGGACAGGGTTGCTATAGAAACTCCAACAATTGGCCTAGCAACGGCTTAGCAACCCCATTGTTTTGTTATGAAAATATATCTATATATATTTATACACATTCTCGCAAGATCTATCAGGGGTCGTTGTAAGTTAAAGCGCCAACTGTTACTTGGCTAATGTTCAGTATGTGAACACAGATCAAAAATGGAAACATTTCTCACAAGTCAGCGTAAACGCCCGCATCTCCAACGGAGCCGGTCCAGCCGGACAACCCTGCTATCCACAAGGATCCCGAATCGCGGGCCAAAATTAAATCCACCAAGGGCCTGATTTGGCCCCCGGGCCTTGAGTTTGACACATGTGGTTTAGGTCATTCAAATTGTAATAAAAAAAATGCCAAGCTAGCTATTTTATTGTATTTATTCATTTGTATTATTATAATTATTAAAGCATGTAGTGAATCATCTTTTCTCTATACAATCTTTGTCAGGGGGTGTGTATGTGCAGTTAGAGGGCGGTAACCACTGCAGTCCTTCAGCATCTTGCCACACACATACCCACACCCACACAAACACAAACACACACACACACACACCGTTTGTGTTTCTACTTTCTGCAGCAGGACAGGAGAGGGTGTTGAATTGTTCCCTTTTGTATTTATTCCTGGAGGAAAGCTACCCGGGGACAGGATGTCTGGAGCGCCTCCGAAGCGGCAGGACACCCGGAAATTCTTCGAGAATTTATCCGGAGCTGGGAAATGCATAGCGGTGCTGACCAGCGGAGGAGATGCCCAGGGTAGGTTCCATTATCGGACAGATGTACTCAATTCATCACTAATACACCGCACCGGCACCACATACGTCATGTGGCTGTCAGGGGAATATGTGTTTCATTTCCTATGTTCACACGGTTTATTGGCTAAGCTTTTCCTTTAATAGTCGTCTACTGTATATTCAATGAGAGAAATTATAGAAACATACCAGTCAAACGACGTGTCCGATAATGGGTGGATAGCCTCAAGCTTGTCCGATAAAGGAAGCGTTACATTACAGTTATACTCCTATGAAGTCAATGAAGGTGCGGTTTAAAAGAGTCTTAGTGCAACAAAAAGAAAAAAAATGCTTTATTTTACAAGGAAACATTTCTAGTATTTTAATGTGCTGCCACTCAGGATTTTACCTTAGTATTTATTAAGAGTTATTTTAATCCAAACGGTGGTTATGCAACAGCTGATCTCCCTTTCACACTCCTGTGTCACTTATTTATTACCATGATGCTATAATATTAATCACAATAATAACTGTTCATTGTTATATTATCTTATATTTTGATCATCCAGGACTGCTAACATTAGTCCAGGTTGTTTATAGGTGTTTTTGAATTATTTGGGAAGCAGCACAAGCAACAAGTGATCGTGGGAATGAAATAATTTAAAGACATCTCCCTTTGTTTACACACCCTCTCGACCCTCATCATGCATCCTGCACCATTTCTTCTGTATGGGGTGTGTTGCCTGCATTAAAGGCGCATGTGTGTGTTGGTGTGCATGCATGTGTCTCCTTGTGCACAGGACATATCATTAAATCAATAGCCCAAATCAATCATTTAAATCCAGTAGTATTCCCATAATGAGTTCAGTATACAATGGCATTATCAGTGCATTTCCTTTATAATTATGAACTGCCTGTGAGTTATAAATCCTGCTGCATTATACATCCCTATAATATAACATCCTAAAATAAAAAGTTGTTCAAAGTTAGTTTAAGTAGTAATAGTGGACATCCCCATCAGAATAAGAGCTCATACATCGTAGTAAATGTGTAGAAACACTTGTCTTGCATCACTGAGGATGAGTCGTGAGAGGACCAGTGTCAGGTTAGACAGAAAAAACACGTACTTCCTTAATGTCCTTTCAAAATAAAACCCCACATACAAATTGTGCTGCAGTGCTTTTAATTTGAAGGCAGTTGATGTCGACTTCCGGTCTGGTTCATGGTTATTCATTGTGTCACCTACGTGAGAAACAGCTAGTACACAGTGTTCTGCAATGTAGTGGAGAAAGGATAAACATCTAATAAATACAAATAAACTTAAATATCAACCGTATAAATAACGCTTAATATCCGTATTACTGTCTCATCATGTTCCTGAAACATCACCAGAACATGTATTTATACTTAAAACCAGCCATATGTCCTTATAAGGATAATCTATGTTGATATACAGTGCTGTATGTTACCCACAGCTATTCTTAGCTTTCAGGCAGTTATATAACAGTGTGTGTCCTCAGTGCAGTCATGCGTGTCTGACCTGTCACTGCAGAATATCATCAGCAGATTACAGATTACAGTATATTTCCTCATGCAGCTGCTTTTATTTGGGTCTGTCTGCACCTGAGGACGAAAAGAGGCAGGCATGCGTTATGATGTCCTCATTTTCTTCCATTCATAACTACTGAGTGCTTGCTGTCCTCTTGGGGTCAGAGGATGTCTGAACACAGCTGTTTTAGTTCCTAATTATTGTCAGTGACTGTCTATAGTGTTTTATTGTGAGAGTTTATAGATTTTGTATCTTCACAGCCTACTGTATATTTTCTTTAATTCTATTTTGAGATGATTACATTCTAGTATTGTTTATTCCTACTCTTTCATTTCTACTTATACTTACGCAAACATTTCCCAATTTGGGATCAATAAAGTACCGCTTATCTTATCTTATTATCTTATTTTATCCTTCGACTGAATGTGGTGAAACAAGCAAACAAGGAATATACATACATAGTACTTCCTCGAGATGTTAAAGGTCCCATGTCATGCTTTTCCGGTTATTACCCGTCCCCTTGTGTTATGAAGCTTTTTCTGCATGTAAACGGTCTGCAGAGTCACAAACCCTCAAAGTACACCCTGTAGCGAGTAAAACTCTAACACAGAAAAGACCTGTCTATGCTGCCCCAGAACGCCTCGTTGGAGATTTCTCTTTTTCTTCCTGGTACTAAGTGATGTAACGACGACCCAAATGGACCCATTGGTCCAAATGGACCAATCCGTGGAGCTCCTCACACACACACACACACACACTCTCAGCGGCAAAACTGTGACGCGCTGGGGGGTGGGGGTGCTAGTGGAGCCTCGCAGCGACGAAACTGTGGCACGCTTACGGCCCGTCCACACGGCGGCGTGCGTTGAAGCTTCAACGCTTCTGCCCATTCACTTTGAATGGGGTGACGTCACGCTTTGCCGAACTGCATTGTGGTTCCGTCACTTCGCTTCGTGAACATGTAAAAGTATCCATATCCATGTAAAGTAGCAGCTAGTAATATTTTTAATACATTATTTTAATTACTGTGATGAATGAGTGCTCATTCCCAGCCTTTATGATGTTCACACTTTTACCTGGATTGCTGCATCAGTTTAATAGCTAAACATTTAAAAAGTGCTCTTACATGTAACGAACATGTTTACCAACCAATAGATGTATTTGCCACTTAACATAATCAGTAATGAAAAAGTACTGATTTCAGGATTTTACTATCACATGCTCACATGAATCTGATAAAATGTGTACTTTTGGTTTTAGAATAAGAATCAGATTTTCTTGTATTCACTATCATATCACACGCACACACACACACACACACACACAGGAAAGGTTTAGTCATAGCATTGCATGATGTGTAAGAACCTTTTATATAAGCTGGATCATGACGCACACACACTGCATTAGTCACGATTTCACATCATTCAGTGTTATTACCTCATTATTTTGCTGTTGTCCTTTTTGTTAAACTCATTAAAGTCAATGTCCAATTAAAACCCATTTCACACGTTAGCACAGAACCCCTTCGACCAATCAGAGCTGTCCGTGGTCTCTTAGCAACGCTCACTCTGCACAGCTTTCACACTTTGTGTTTATTCAGTGAAGGAAAACTCTTTGTGCACCAATCCTGCACGCAACCTCATTTCATTAATCATGTATGAGTTAACACAGAGCAGGTTAAAGGTTATATACACATACCTACACAAAGAAAGGTATTCAGATTATGTATAAGAAGAATGTGACACTATTTTATTTAAAAGAAACACCAAAATATTGTCAAGGTTGAGTGAAGCAGGCAGGACCCAAATGCAGATTTTACGGGAAATACCTTTATTTCAAGGTTAAATTGTCCAAAACAGAACACTACCCCGTGAACACAGTCACAGACAAACAAGGAACTAACAATGACAGACAGAACAACCAGAACTAAAATACACACAAGACTAATCACACAAACAAGACACAGGTGAGGAGGGAGGAGAAAACACAGGGGCACCAGGTGAACACAATCGGGTAATCAGGTAGGAGGGAAAACAGACAGAAAGCAACAGGCAAGACAGGGGGTGAACACTTTTCAAAATAAAACAGAAAACCAAAGACAGAAAAAGACACAACACAACACAGACAGATCGTGACAAATATGTCTTACTTTTTTGACTTCTGACAGAAAATTTGAGACATTTTTACAAATAAATCTCATAAATCCCCTTAGTAGCATTTTCAACTTTTAAATAAGAATCCAGCCTTCTTTGGATCGATGTAAGTCAGTCAAGTTTGGACCTAAAACAATGAATAGTTTGACAGAAAACTCATTAATTGTATTGATAATTTACTGCATGTTTTTAATATTATGTGACCGTAACATGAATATATTTTTGTTTATGGCTGGAAATAATGAGCATATTATTCAATTAAACATCACAAATAATTGTAAATAGCAGCTTTAGTTCAGTTCAGCCCTATAGACATCAGCTTTATCTACATTTAGACATTTATTTTCTCACCTCTAGCACTGTTTTATCTGAGTTTTCACACATAAAATATAACTGTTTTGTCAGATAATCCTTAGTTTCTTTATGGCAGAGCTCTTTTCACTAACCCTGTGCTCTTCTCAGTGAAATCAAGTGGCTATGCAGTGTTGTTTTCTGCCTAAACAGAGCCTAAATTATCACATTGTCATCCAGGAAGTAGTCCCATCCCGTGCTCGTTCTGCAGACGGTGAATAGGCAATGTTTACAACCTGTGGTGGGAGGAGGACATTTGGCAGATCAGTTCTGGTGGCAGATTGAGATGCTGTGGCTTCACTCATGCTGCCAGAAAGAGTGAAGCTAAATGTACCATAACTCTATAAAAATCTGCATTTCATATCGGAGGAGATATATCACAGAAAGTTGCTATCAGAAACAATACCTGACGTGTTTTTGGACGTAATCTCGTCTTTGTTCACATTAGCATCGCTAACACTCAGAGCTAACCTGTACTGGAGAGCACATGTGTTTAAAAAGCAGGAAATAAAAAAAGGAACTCACCTTGTGATAAACCTGAGAGAGAAAAAGCATTTGAGCTCCATACTGTTTCCGAAATAATCCTTGATGGGGTTTAGAACAGGATGGCGTTTTATCACAGCAGAATTTAACTTTATCTCCAGTAGAATTCTGATCAGGCATTAGCTCCGCCGCCTCCTCTTTTTTATTTATTTTGAAAGCTAAGGACCCAGGATCTGCGTTTCTCTAACAGCTGAAATAGAGGGAGGGATATGAGGGATTTCTAAAATGCATGATCTGTTTGTATTTTGAGCAAAACACATCATAGACATGTTTTTATATTTTTTATATATCTGAGACCCATAATATATGCCTTAAAATAGCACTTTAAATCTTCCATTTCCAATTCCCTCAATAAGTTTAGTCACAGCTCTCTGTCTGCATGAGGATCAACATTGAACCCAAACGACAACAAGACATCAACAACGTCTACTTCCTATGTAATCAAGCGGGGTTTCAACCTATGGGTACTGACGGAAACTAAAACCAATCGATGTGTTGATCTCCGTCTCTCTGAGATTTACAGCCTGTCTTGTTTCTAATTTCACAAAGTGCTCCGACAGACACTTTGAAATATAGCCCAATATCCTGAAGGACACTTAGCCCTCTGTGTGTGTTTTAAACCTCTTTACCTCTCCTGATGTCTGCCGAATCACCCTCTCTTGTATTTCATATTTATCTCAGAAACTTACATTATTTAAGGGGGATTCATCCAAAGTTGAGTGGAAGAAGGAAGCTTTGGTTTTGCTAAGAGGAAAACTCAATAACGTATTACAATAACAACCTTCTTCCAATTCTGTATATATTAAACACTTTTGAATTGCCTTATATATATATAAACATAATCATTTTGATGGTTATTTAATTGTTACAGATTAATTTTTATGCAGGAACGGCAGACATTTTATTTTTCAGCTTCTAACATTTGGAGATTTTCTGCTTTTTCTCTGTTTTACATCAAGTGAAAGTGAATTTTGTTGAAGCTTTAAAACCAGAGTTTCCTTCACAGTTCACTCGCCAATTGATCGTGGAAACATCTCAGTTATTTGTGACCTTGTAGAGATGCCCTTTTAAATTGTTTTTGGCCTAATTTGTAGGACAGCTAATATGCATTGAGTTTAAGACAATAAATGCATCAAGGTGACACATGCGTTGAATTCTGAATTTTTCCACTTGTTTGTGCTCCTCCAAATTCTTCATCAACATGTTTCCATGTGTCTTCATCATATTCAGACGTGGGAAGTAGTGGAGTACAAATACTTCGTTACTGTACTTAAGTACATCTTTCTGGTACCAGTACTTTACTCCACTACTTATTTTTCTGACGACTTTTTACTTTGACTTCTTACATTTTGAACCCAAATACCTGAACTTTCTACTTCTTACATTTTGAACACAAATACCTGAACTTTCTACTTCTTACATTTTGAACACAAATACCTGTACTTTCTACTTCTTACATTTTGAACACAAATACCTGTACTTTCTACTTCTTACATTTTGAACACAAATACCTGTACTTTCTACTTCTTACATGTTGAACACAAATACCTGTACTTTCTACTTCTTACATTTTGAACACTAATACCTGTACTTTCTACTTCTTACATGTTGAACACAAATACCTGTACTTTCTACTTCTTACATTTTGAACACAAATACCTGTACTTTCTACTTCTTACATTTTGAACACAAATACCTGTACTTTCTACTTCTTACATTTTGAACCCAAATACCTGTACTTTCTACTTCTTACATGTTGAACACAAATACCTGTACTTTCTACTTCTTACATGTTGAACACAAATACCTGTACTTTCTACTTCTTACATTTTGAACACAAATACCTGTACTTTCTACTTCTTACATTTTGAACTCAAATACCTGTACTTTCTACTTCTTACATGTTGAACACAAATACCTGTACTTTCTACTTCTTACATGTTGAACCCAAATACCTGTACTTTCTACTTCTTACATGTTGAACTCAAATACCTGTACTTTCTACTTCTTACATTTCCCAAACAGGCTGGTTCCTTTAGTTTGAATGTGTGTTTGGTGGCGTGATCATTATTATTTAGAGTCATTGCGTGCCTATTGATTTGAACACGATCCGTGTATCCATCATTTCCTGGTCTTCTCTAAAGAAGAGGGACCAATGAAAACGTTGTCATGTTGCCGTTGTTCAGCATGGAAACATTCATTAGCTAACAATGACATTATTGTTCTATTAATATAAAGGGAGGTCAGGTACTCTTTAAAACAGCTGCTAGTTATGGGTACTTTTTACTTAAGTACATTTCAAAGAAGTTTAGTCAGTACTTCTACTTTTACCAGAGTATTTTTAAACATGAGTATCTGTACTTCTACTTGAGTAAAGGATGTGTGTACTATGAGAATGCTTATTGAGGAATGTTCTCTCCATGCTGACCTCTCACCCTCTGTCTGTTATCAGGGATGAATGCAGCCGTGCGGGCCGTGGTCAGGATGGGCATCTATGTTGGAGCGAAGGTCTACTTCATCCACGAGGTGAGGATCAGGTTTCAGACATGTGTTCTTCACCAGGAGCTAAATGAATACCCAGCAGTTTTCCAACGTCAGGCTGTGACTGACTTCGATTTTTTTTAATGGGTTTTTGGTGAGACACCTGAAATAGGTTACCACTAGCTGAAGAGAGGTTTTGTTTTTGTCGCTATTGTTGCTTTTACTGTTCGATATTAATTCATGCATTACACATAATCTTACTCTCCTTTTACACTCCATGGATAAGTCAAATCTAAAGTTTCCACCTACTCTGAATGCAATAAACATGCAACTTTAAGGGCTTTTTCCCCATTAGTATCCCACTTTAGCCATTTAGGACACTTTGAAATAAACCAAACCTGTAGTACAAGATAAACAAACTGGTGGTACTTCAAATAGTGTGTGTGTGTGTGTCTGTGTGTGTGTGTCTGTGTGTGTGTGTGTGTGTGTGTGTGTGTGTGTGTGTGTGTGTGTGTGTGTGTGTGTGTGTGTGTGTGTGTGTGTGTGTGTGTGTGTGTGTGTGTGTGTGTGTGTGTGTGTGTGTGTGTGTGTGTGTGTGTGTGTGTGTGTGTGTGTGTGTGTGTCTGCCAGGGGCCATAGTGGTTATATATATATATAGAAGTGTGTGTGTGTGTGTGTGTGTGTGTCTGTGGAGGTCTACCAGGGCCATGGTGGTTATATATATATATAGAAGTGTGTGTGTGTGTGTGTGTGTGTCTGTGGAGGTCTACCAGGGGCCATGGTAGTTATATATATATATATAGAAGCGTGATGGAGAGTGGTGAAGGAGTCCTGAATCCAAAATGAGTCAGCATCTTAGCACTGCAGAGTTTCTCTTCTTAGGTCAAAGGTTTGTTTTAATGGATTTGTTGTTAACACAAGCTGAAGAGATGTTGATCTGGACTTTTCATTCATGCATTACACATAATCTGACTCTCCTTTTACAAGATTCAAAATGTTCCTTTTACAAGATTCAAAGGTTTTAATGTCATATAAGCTACAGTGTAGAAAGGGCAATGAAAATCTTATGACCCGAGCTCCTCCAACAATGCAACATATATATATATAATAAAATACTAGGGTTAGGGTACACATACATAGACTATGATATATACAACAGAATGTTAAATTACATTTTGACCAGTCAAATTAAATTAAATACGGTTTATTACGGTGATGCAGTCCATGGATAAGTCAAATGTAAAGTATTCCCCTACTACGCTTTTTTCCTCATCGGTATCACACTGGACACTTTGAATTAAACCAAATATGTAGTATAAGATAAACAACTGCTTGACATATTAAGATAAGATAAGAAGTACTTTATTGATCCCAATTTGGGAAATGTTTGCATTGCACATCATTGAATATCAGAAAATAAAAGCTAAATAAATCCCTGTTTCAGTCTTATCTTTGGAGTTGTTTGATATCGAATGTCTGATATTATGAGCAGTAATGGGCGTAATGCTTCAGATGGCAGATTGAGGTGATACTCAGTGTAGTGATGTGGTTATAATTGGATTACCAGGGGCAGCATTCATCCTCCACTGGCTGCACTCGTCTTCATCAGTCTCGAATAACCACAGTAATGAGAGTAATGACAGCTGAGAGACATGATGGCTTTATTTTGGGATGGACGTCGGCTGGTGATTCAGATCAGTGTTCACAACATCAACAGTGACTTTAAAATAAAGCTAAGCTCTGATGTCGGCACCGAGGGCGATAAGTGATACATGCAGGTGTTCATCCATGATTGAAAACAAAAAGCCATTACCCTGCTGTCCACAGTTTGGAAAACTCAATGTAAACCGTTTGTGATGTTCCCCCTGAAAGTCACCAAGGGCACCCAGTTGTTAACTATGCAAGTGCAAATGCTTTAATCTGTGGGTCATAGGCTCAATAACCGGTTATAATATTAGTTAGTATTGTTGTGTTCAGAATTCCAGGAAAGACAGACGACTTCTAAGTTTAACTATTTATTATGAGCGAGCAAAAGACATATATTCACTTGGCCAAGGACTCCGTCACGTCATAGAAATCACAGACAGCAAAGCTGCAATCTGTCAGTCTATTTCCGGACAAGTGCCTCGAACCTCGTGCGTGCATACATTGTTATTACACAGGACGTTGCCTGTACATTTATGATTGGTCAAGACTACAGTAGCTGAAGAGATACCATGGTTTAGACTTGGTTCTCTTTGGTATGTGCACAGACTCAGATAGGGTCTCTTGGCAACACAATCGTCCAATCAGCATTTGGCCGGCCTGCGGAAGTCCCTCCCTACTCTGGCACCATCATTATACGTAATTTGTTTTGATGAAGCTTCTACAGAAAAGTGGAATCTTGGTTATACTGATTCCCAGCTATGCGTGGGCGCGGAGCTAACCCAGGCGGCCAAGGCCATAGCCTCAATAACTCATTGTTTCTACAGTGCCTGCATCTGGCTTCTGCTACTTTCTATTTGCAAGCTGAACACTTTCTTCTGACTATTCCCTTCGTTGGTACCTAACCCATCAGAACCTGGGATTAGTGATTGTGTCTATTCATTTTATAGTCATAGCAATCTCATGAGCACAATAAGCATATCATTTAATAATAAGAATCAGTCTTGTAATGTTATATACAAATAGACTCCACAGTATATATAATAATATTTGAGATTATTGCCTTCAATCTAAGGGTTTGCTGCTTTGTATGGTCTTGTCTAATAGTTCACTGTTTTGGATTGGGGTTAGACAAAACAAGTAGTTTAAATATATCATATTTGTCTCTGGTAAATTGTGATTCCTTTTTAAACGTATCGACATTTTATAGACTTTATATTGAATGAACTAATTGAAATTCCAATGTGTGTTCCCATGGATGTCAGTGATGTATGATTTGTTGTTTCTCCTCTCAGGGTTACCAGGGCATGGTGGACGGAGGAGAGAACATCAAAGAGGCGACGTGGGAGAGCGTCTCCAGCATGCTGCAAGTGGTGAGACACACTCCTGATGTCACATCGAAAAGAGCAATCTTTCCCACTTCGTTTTTGCTCCTTTCGGTCGTTTGGTTTTGCGCCCGGCCGACGCGCTCACACGTCACACAGAGAGATATCGTTTGTTTGTTTCGGTACATTTATTTCCACGTTATCCTTTACATGTCTTTTCTTCACTGTTCTCTTCTTTTAACACAAATAAAAGTGTCTTACCAGACGATGATGGAGACAGTTACGTCACAACTCATAATTTCTCTGCAGTGCAGCGGTCCAAAAACAGTATGGCTTCTCGACCAAAATGAACGCAGAGTATCGTCAGCTGGACTCTTTTGTACCAGCTGAGGCAATCACAGCGTCAATCAGCTTAACCGCATGTGAAGATCACAATGAATTGACATTAATTAACAACCTATTCCATTCCATAAAATGGGGGGTGTGTGGCGCAGTGGGTTGTCCGTAGGTGTTCGGATTAGGGGGTTACAGGTTCAAACCCCACTGCAGTCAGCATGTCGTTGTGTCCCTGAGACACTTCACCCCAAATTGCTCCTGTGGGGATTGTCCACAGTACTGAGTATGTAAGTCGCTTTGGATAAAAGCGTCTAACAAGTGACATGTAATGTAATGTAATAACCAATATTCAATATGTTACGCATAATTAAACAATTAAATAATCAAAGTAGTAAATCAACATTTTGGCTCCTACTGTAAATGCAGCTATCATTAGAGACCCTGTGTACACATTGTAATTATGATCCTATTATCTGTATATTGTAGCACAACGAAAGGCTCTCTACATGCTTTCTGGCAGAGGAGAGCAGAGTTTGTGCTGAAGGCAACACACTCTGTGATATCCTCTGATGATCGTTGGAAGAGACTCTGCAACGAGGCTTTATAGCTGAGAGCCAAATGAGTACTGTTTGTCAGAGTCAGCCTTTTATTGTGTAAAGTGGATTCTATGCAACAGTGGAAAAAGATTGTGTAGATTAGCAATATTAGAAATAAGATTTATAGGTAGGTAGACAACTACAAAGCAGAGCCAGTAAAAGAGCATTTATTGAGAATATATGCAGGCCCTTCATTAGTTGCTTTTGGATTTCTTATCTTATCTTATTTAACTGAAGATCTAATGGGCAACTAATTGCAAAAAATCGAATAAAGAGGCAGTTTCCGAGCATGTAGACTTGTATTTTTGTGTTGATTTTATAAAAATGTGTTGCCCTTTTTTAACCATTGTGTTTTATTTTATTATTATTATTTTATTTTTTATTTTTTATTTTATTTTTTTTAATTTTAATTTTTTTTTTATTTTTAATTTAAAAAATTTTTTAATTTTTTTTTTTTAAATTTTAAATTTTAATTATTTTGTATTATCATTATTATTAGTATTAGCATTACTATTAGTATTATTATCCATTTATTTATAACATTTTAATAATTTGAATTTATATATTTATGTTTTGGTTGTTTGTCTTTTTCGATTCTTGTGTGATTCAATACTGCGACTGATATATAATAATAATAATAGTAATTCATTACATTTATTCGAGCGTTTTTCCAAGTGCTCAAAGCGCTTTACATTACATATTACACATATTAGACATGTAACAGTTATTACTGTGGACAATACTGTCGGAGTCGGGAGGCCTGTTAACTTCTTCCGGCAAATGACTCAGACCTACTAATTGACCTAACAGAAGTTATTGAGTCTATGTAAGTTTACTGCTTGGCTCAGCTCCACCAACGTCAGCAAGATCTCACCTCTATTAACTCCTGAAGAACCAGGTTAAATTAACTGCTGTTTCGTAGATATTTGCGAGTTGCATAAGAACTGGTAAGATAGCAGGGTTTCCCACACATAGACTTCACTTGGGGCGGGCCACCCAGGTATATTAACGGCCGCCAAAGTATAATTTGCGAGCCATTTGGGTTTAATTGTTTTAATCCGTCCGCGAGCACGACGGCATCTGCGATCCCTCGCTCTACCCCTCGCTATTGCGTGAAGGGTCTGGGCATAAAGTCAAGTACCCCTCAAAAGGTCCGGTTTATTTCATTTTAAGGATGAACAACATCTCCAGGTGCTCCTTTGAGAACCAGGGCAAAAAAGTGATGTGCACCCCTGGTTATAAACATTCAACAAATCAATTCGCATCAACTCATATACACACCAAAATCCAGCATGAATTCAGAGGACCATCCTCATAGGTGGCTGGGTCATAAACATTCAGCAAATCAATTCACTCAGCATTCAACAAATACATTCGAGAGATTTTACCAAGTTTGAGAGAGGATACCAGGGGGAAAACCCCCCCTCTCTCCAGTTTGCTCCCTCTCAGCTAGTGTTTTTATGCTCAAAACAGGACAGAACATCCTAAAGACACCTCCTCCATACCCATAGTTGTGGAAACTGGGCATGGCCTCTAGTGTGGAGGACTGAAAAATATTATTCTCGGCTATGGCATAAACACCTTTTTGGGGCCTCAGTATTTCTCCAACAAGTCAGGAGCCCCCCCCTGTGCACCGCTGTGAGGGAAGAAACTATCTCCCCTCTCTTATCAGTGACACCCATGAACTAAAATAGGCCTTAAACTCAATTTAACAAACCACTGATTTCATATAGGAATTAATAATGGCGCCGGTGATGATGGCTAACGTGTCTTTGGCTCCTCTCCAACTGTTTTCACTGATGTCATGTTGTAATGTGTTGTCCCTCAGGGGGGCACGGTGATCGGCAGCGCTCGCTGTAAAGACTTCCGGACCCACGAGGGGCGCCTGAAGGCGGCTCAGAACCTGGTGCAGCGCAGCATCACCAACCTGTGTGTGATCGGGGGGGACGGCAGCCTCACGGGGGCCAACCTGTTCAGAGAGGAGTGGAGCGGGCTGCTGGAGGAGCTGCAGACGCAGGGTGAGGGGAGGGGCTTCAGACCCCTTAAACACACCACTACATGACTTAAAGGTCACCTATTATGCAAAGTCCTCTTCTTCATGTCTCTTCTACATCAACATGTGTCCCCTCTTCTTCATGTCTCTTCTACATCAACATGTGTCCCCTCTTCTTCATGTCTCTTCTACATCAACATGTGTCCCCTCTTCTTCATGTCTCTTCTACATCAACATGTGTCCCCTCTTCTTCGTGTCTCTTCTACATCAACATGTGTCCCCTCTTCTTCATGTCTCTTCTACATCAACATGTGTCCCCTCTTCTTCATGTCTCTTCTACATCAACATGTGTCCCCTCTTCTTCATGTCTCTTCTACATCAACATGTGTCCCCTCTTCTTCATGTCTCTTCTACTTCAACATGTGTCCCCTCTTCTTCATGTCTCTTCTACATCAACATGTGTCCCCTCTTCTTCATGTCTCTTCTACATCAACATGTGTCCCCTCTTCTTCATGTCTCTTCTACATCAACATGTGTCCCCTCTTCTTCATGTCTCTTCTACATCAGCATGTGTCCCCTCTTCTTCATGTCTCTTCTACATCAACATGTGTCCCCTCTTCTTCATGTCTCTTCTACATCAACATGTGTCCCCTCTTCTTCATGTCTCTTCTACATCAACATGTGTCCCCTCTTCTTCATGTCTCTTCTACATCAACATGTGTCCCCTCTGTGTAAAGAGACTCTGAAAGTTTCAGGAACAAAGATTCTCTCTCTTTTTGTCCTGATCCATTTATATAAAAACCTGTCTGAAAATGAGCTGATCAGATTTTGGCCACTTTGTGATGTCATAACGATGTTTTGGCTTGTGTAACCATTAGCCAATCAGCAACCAAGGTAACCCCCGCCCCCCACCTTATCACCTGAATCTCCTCCTAGAGCACCATTGAGTTCTTTCTAACCAAATATCTCTCAGAGGGGCGTGGGGAGGGGCTCCTTATTTTCATCTAAAGTAACAGACAGAGAATCAGCACTTTGGAAACAGGGCTGAAACAGAGGGGATTATGGGTAATGCTGCAATGATCTGTTTGGTGTTCCAGCCAATCAGAGACAGGTTCTGTATATATCTGAGACCTGTGATACATTGATGAAAAACAGTATAATAGGGGACCTTTAAGAGCAGTGTTTCTACTGGGCGTTATTTACCAGACTTTGACCGAGAACATCTGTTGACGTCTGACACTTTTAAATCTCTAACCTGGAGGGCTATTTTTTTCTTATGAGCCATGCTTTCTACCCTCCTGTTTTTCTTTTAGCCGTTATTGAATAAGTATTTTTGGTAAACACATTCCCCTTAAACACAATTTGAAGTGTATTCAAAATAGGATGAATAATTAGGAAACACCAGGCCTTCTCCTTGATGCCAAAAGCAAAAATGCCATTGCTTGAATTTCTTAGTGGTCTGCTAAGTCCTCATCAATGTTTTCAGCTAAATCTGTCCCAAGTTAGCCAAACTGGTCAAGGTAGTCTTCGAGACCCCCGATCTATCTGCACAATTTAATTAAAATATTAGGAGCCGGACAGACCTACATTTATTATGGTTTCTTAACAAAACTTGAGGGAAATTCTATGTGTATGTCTATCGCATAATATGTATCTATTCGTTTGTGTTATACACGAGTCTATTGAAGAGATTTGTTTGATTTGAAATAGCTTTTTTTTCAATCAAAGATAAATCTACATCAAGTAATAAACACAGATTATATTTGATCTTCTTCCCTCTGTCCCTCTCAGGTCTGATCGATAACGAGGCGGCGCTCGCTAACTCTGTACTGCACATCGTGGGGATGGTTGGCTCCATCGATAACGACTTCTGCGGCACGGACATGACCATCGGCACCGACTCGGCTCTGCACCGCATCATCGAGGTGATCGACGCCATCATGACCACCGCTCAGAGGTAAAGAGAGAGAGAGAGAGAGAGAGGGAGAGACAGGAAGTGACGAGACAATAACATGTGATGAGATTAGATTAGATTCCTTTTATTGTCACTACACAGAGTTTCAGTGAAATTCCAAGCATTCCCAAAGGTGCAATCACACATAACAGACAGTATAAGTATAACATGTGATGAGATGTAGCCAGACAAGACATAAGAAAACTATTTAACATCATGTAAGAAAACAATAATAATGCGACTGCCTTGTTTTTTCTGACATTTCTCTTGTTTTTCTCTTGTTTTTCTCTTGTTTTTCAGCCACCAGAGGACATTTGTGCTGGAGGTCATGGGCAGGCACTGCGGGTAAACTCCTCCCCTTAAATTAGATTATATAACAGAGAGATAAATACAGTAGACGTATAATAACTTACTCTATATGTGCATATCAATGTGTATGGTAAAAAATATTGTGGTTTGGGGAAAAAGCGTGTTTGTTCAGGCTGTGCAGATTAAATATAATCACAACAAATATATGTTACAGGGAAGTAAATGTTATTAATGTGTGTGTGTGTGTGTGTGTGTGTGTGTGTGTGTGTGTGTGTGTGTGTGTGTGTGTGTGTGTGTGTGTGTGTGTGTGTGTGTGTGTGTGTGTGTGTGTGTGTGTGTGTGTGTGTGTGTGTGTGTGTGTGTGTGTGTGTGTGTGTGTGTGTGTGTGTGTAGGTACCTGGCTCTGGTCAGTGCTCTGGCCTGTGGAGCAGACTGGGTGTTTATCCCTGAGATGCCCCCTGAGGACGACTGGGAGGACAACATGTGTCAGAAACTGTCCGAGGTAACACACACTCCATATATCACCGTCTCTTAAAGGTCACTTATTATGCGAAATCCACTTTTGTATGTTCTTTATACATAACCATGTGTCCCCTCTGTGTAAAGAGACTCTGAAACTTTCAGGAAAAAAGATTCTCTCTCTTTTTGTCCTGATCCATTTCTATAAAAACCTGTCTGAAAATGAGCTGATCAGATTTTGGCCACTTTATGATGTCATAACGATGTTTTGGCTTGTGTACCCATTAGCCAATCACCAACCAAGGTAACCCCCCCCCCCCACCTTATCACCTGAATCTCCTCCTAGAGCACCATTAGGCGCGTTCACACCGGAGTACTTTTACCCGTACTTTTCCCGTTTAGTTCCGATAGTGCCTGGAATTTTGCGTTCACACCAAAAAGATAACTTAGTTCATGACAACTTTTACCCCCATTTGTAGTCCCTGCTAGAGAGGTGGTACTAGCCTGGGGAGGAAAAAGTACCAATTTCTGATTGGCTGCGCAAATTGCAAACCACGCCCCGTAAAACTCGGAAAAGTTTTTTGAAGCCGCCATTGTATTTGCTGGCATTAGCATTATTAGCATTAGCATTAGCCCCGCGCACCAACGGAGAGAGAATAACTTATGGCAACACAAAAACAAACATGGGAGCGGTGGAGTGATGAGGAGGTGTCGGCGTTCTGGCGATTTACTCGGAAGGCTTCAGTAGAAGCTGCAGGGAGTCCCAGCAGCTTCTACTGAAGCCAGTCCCCAACTCCGGGGACTTCCGGCCGGGGACTCCGGGTGGCAGTATACGCCTTGAAGTGGTTTGCGGCCTGCCAGTAAACCAAAGCAGAAGAAGAAGAAGTGACGTCAGCGGCTTCATTTGACTAATCCTCCCCCAGGGACTTATTCCGGTGTGAACGCGATCGGCTCTTTAGTTCCATGGGGGAACTAAGTGCTGGGAACTAAGTGCTGGGAACTAAGTGCTGGGAACTAAGTACGGCAAAGTACTTGGTGTGAAAGCGACTCTTGTGTTCTTTTTAACCAAATCTCTCTCAAAGGGGCGTGGGGAGGGGCTCCTTGTTTTCATCTAAAGTAACAGACAGAGAATCAGCACTTTGGAAACAGGGCTGAAACAGAGGGGATTATGGGATGCTGCAATGATCTGTTTGGTGTTTCAGCCAATCAGAGACAGGCTCTGTATATATCTGAGACCTATAATATATTGATGAAAAACAGTATAATAGGGGACCTTTAAGAAATACAATTATGATACACTAACACTATATTTACCACAGCTGACATTTAGCAAACTCCTGAATATTTGTGGTGCATTTCAGTCCCGATTTGGCAACATATAACTCATTAAAATGTATTTTATTGATGAAATGCTTCTTTTAAAAACATAAGCAGTCATCATAACTGTGCCGCTTTTTCTTTTTAGACACAATGAAATACTGTTGTGTTGGGTACGATCCATGTGTTGAACAGCGACTCTGGTGGGACTCCAACCCACAACCTTTGAATTACATCTCCAATGTTTAACTAAAAGTACAATGCACTGTCCATTGCCCCGCACACTGGCATTTATTATGACTACTCAACCCACTTCAAACATCGACCACCAATAACATGTCCAGTAGGCGATCTAAAGGTTGGCACACTAATAGGGTTCGTTTTTTCAACTCCACAGCCCGTATGTGATGAGGATTCATGCAGAGTAGGACAAATGTTTGTTAAACAGTGGAGGTTTAAAAGTGTTCAGAGCATTTACTTCCAATACTTTATGAAGTTGAAAACACATATTTTGGTGAAAAACACTTTCCTGAATAAAAGGCCACCCAACTAAATATCTAAATATCCTACCATGTTGTATTTACAGACGTGAAGGGTTACCAGTAGATGATCTTCTATACATGAGAGTAACACATGCATAACTTCCGGGCAAAAAGTACGGCCCCGCCCACTTTTGGGGGAAAACAAAGCTGTCATTTGAATGGCGGTCGATACAAATTCTGAAGTTTTTGCCAATCCGATCAGAAATGTAAGAAAACGGTGGATTTGTGGATCTTCAAAGAGCCCGATTACGATGGCCAGTCAGGCAAACAATTACATTAAATCATTTGCAAATCGACGATCAGGCTCGATATATGGTTAAATATAGCAGTAGGCGATCGATGTCCATAGATGAGAGTAACATCTACGTCACTTTATGGCCCCGCCCACTTTTGGGGGAAACCAACGCTGTCATTTGAACGGCGATCAAACCTGAAGCCACAGAGCTCTTCTGTTACTGTCCTTTCTTCTTAGAGGAAGTACAGAAACACTGAACTCTGGATTTGTTTTAATGTTTGAGGAGCAATAAACGACACAGCAGCTTTTTGGCATGATACAACTATTATTTCCCGCCTCGCTCATGAGAGTAACAGCCGGCGAAAATGACAGCCTCGCCTACTGATTTTAATTTAACCATATATCGAGCCCGATTGTCGATTTCAAATGATTGAATGTAATAGTTTGCCTGACTGGCCATCGTAACCGGGCTCTTTGAAGATCCCAAAATCCACCGTTTTCTTACATTTCTGATCGGATTGGCAAAAACTTCAGAATTTGTATTGACCGCCGTTCAAATGACAGCGTTGTTTTCCCCCAAAAGTGGGCGGGGCCGTAATTTTCGCCCGGAAGTGACGTAGGTGTTACTCTCATCTATAGCATGATCTAGTTTTCCGCAATACAAGATGTTCTCCGTCATGATTTTATAACTCTTGTGTTTCTTCATTTCCCTCCAGAACCGAGCTGATAAGAAAAGGCTGAACATTATCATCGTAGCTGAGGGAGCCATCGACGGCCACAACAAGGCCATCACTCCAGATTTTATCAAAGATGTGAGTCTATGGTTATCTTCTGAATGGAAACACACTAGTTTTACTTTAGACTGTATGTGCACGTGTAAATGTATCCGCTCACCTATGTTTTTAATTCAATATTTATCCTTTTTATATTTGAAATAGCATCCAATGTCACTTTGCCTCCTTATAGTAATAGGACAACGTCACGTTTTCTTGCAAGAACACAACTTTTGTATCTGTCATTTTGGTAGAGATGCCCTGTTAATCCCTGCAACAGCTGTTATGTTTAATCTGAAATGTGATAAAATGCTACCATGCCTCTCTCTCTCTCCCTCTCTCTCCAGCTGGTGGTCCGCTGCCTGGGATTTGACACCAGGGTCACCATCCTGGGCCACGTGCAGAGAGGCGGGACCCCCTCGGCCTTCGACAGGATCCTGGTAAGTCGTAAAATATCTCTTGGAAAGAACGTAATAATAACAATAATGCATTTTATTTATAGAGCGCTTTTCTAGAAACTCAAAGACACAGAGTAAAAATGTATAAAAACACTTATTAAATTAAAACAACTGACTTAAAATATATAAAACACAACATTAATTACAGTTTAAAAGCATTTGTGATTTCAACATGGTGCGATCGGTTGTGTTTGTCACAGTCACGGATGTGTTTTGGGAGTGAGTTCCAGAGGGAGCGGGCAGCTGTCCCCCCCCCTAATGTGAGATTTTTGTCCGCAAGTCAGAATAACATTCTTTTAGTCCAAGTTTCCAGCCTCAAACCGTACGTTGTTATCCCCCTGGTGAAGCAGCGTTCAGTTATTATGCTCCAAATATCTGGAACAAACTCCCAGAAACCTGCAGGTCCGCTGCAACTCTGACTACTTTTAAATCCAAATGTCTTTCATTTGTTGTGAAGCACTTCGACTTGCCTTGTGTTGAAAGGTGCTATATAAATAAACGTGCCTTGCCTTGCCCTGCAGGCCAGTCGGATGGGGGTGGAGGCGGTGCTGGCGCTGCTGGAGGCCTCGGCCACCACCCCCGCCTGCGTGGTGTCTCTGGTGGGGAACCAGGCCGTCAGACTGCCACTGATGGAGTGTGTGCTGATGGTAAGAGAGTGTGTGTGTGTGTGTGTGTGTGTGTGTGTGTGTGTGTGTGTGTGTGTGTGTGTGTGTGTGTGTGTGTTGTCTAGACCAGTGATTCTCAAATGGGGGTACGCGAACCCCTAGTGGTACGTTGGGGTACTGCAGGGGGTACGTGAGATAAAAATTCATAAAAAGGTTCATTAAAAAAATACCATGCATGATTGCAAAAATAATCTTAGTACAATAAGTTAAATAGAAAACACAATGTTATATAAAATATTCCTAGAACCACTAAGGGGGTCCTCATATACACATGTCAAATGTGTGTATTGTAGTTTATAGTTTTTCATAATATATCGTTTTGTTCATTGGTTTGTTAAATATTACTTCAATTGAAAAACTCCTTGGAAAAATCTGTTTTAATTTGTATTCATGTATAAAGATGAAAATATCCTTAGTTTGTTGTAATTCGTGCATGAAGGAGTTAGTAAATCAAACACTGATGGAACATTACTATATTGTAATTATTTATATAGGCTTTTTCTATCAAAGATTTCCGGGGTCGGTCCGGGGGTACTTGGCTGAGAAAATGTTTCAAAGGGGGTACACTACTGAAAACAGTTTGAGAAGCACTGGTCTAGAGTGTGTGTGTGTGTGTGTGTGTGTGTGTGTGTGTGTGTGTGTGTGTGTGTGTGTGTGTGTGTGTGTGTGTGTGTGTGTGTGTGTGTGTGTGTGTGTGTGTGTGTGTGTGTGTGTGTGTGTGTGTGTGTGTGTGTGTGTGTAAAACGTACACATTGTTTAACAATACATAACATGTATACAGTATATACAGTACTAGCTGTATTAAGACATGAATGCTGAATTGCACAGTTTCAAAGGGTTTGGCTGCTGATAGTGAAGTTAGTCCTAGTGCCAGACATATTCAGAGTATTAATCACTTCAATGAATTAGAATATTGTTTTTTAACTTATATTGCGTGACAGCTGTATGTGTGAGTGAATAAAACAGTCATGAGGTAAAATAGTGGTCGTAATGAATGGGTCCAGGTACTCCCAGTTTGAGAAAAACCCAACCAACCATTTACAGGACAGATAGGAGAACGAACATTTACGTTTGTGAAACAGATCCAGAAACTTGTCTCAACAGAAACAGCAGATGTTGCAGATGAAGCAGATTGAGACGTGTGTTTTGTCATCAGACCCAGGAGGTGCAGAAGGCCATGGACGAGAAGAAGTTTGAAGAGGCTGTGAGACTGCGTGGACGGTGTGTTTTCAACTACTACTGGTTTTAATAAGATCATATATCAGATTCATTTGCCTACAAACAAGTCACACAGTTAGACAGCATCAATAACAGAGCTCACATGTATTGTGGATTCTGCACATTGGCTAACTTTGTTTATTTCCCATCTGTTTCCTGCAGGAGCTTTGAGAACAACCTGTCCACCTACAGACTCCTCTCCTACCGGACACCAGATTCTGAACTTCCAATTGTAAGCACCCTCACAACCAAATAACAACAACATTTGTTTATTTAAACCACAAGATTACCCCAGTTTGATTTATTCTAATGTATCTTTCCACCAGCGCCTCTGAGAGTTGAACCATAGCTTACGGTACTTCCTGATCAGGTGCATTGTGGTTGCTGTAGTCCTTTTTTTGTATAGGGGTTGAAAGTTGATGTGCAGCAATTTTGAATTATGTCCTAAAATGTGTCATACTCCACTACTAGCTGGATGGTTGGAGTTTGACTAGCAGGAACACGTTTGGATAGTGAGTAAAATGTTGCATTTGGCCGTCGATATGTATTTTTAGCCTCAGCTGCTGCTTCTCTGCGTCTTCAGCAGCATGTGGCTTCCTGCATGAGAGCTGATCTGTGCCTGCTGCTCTGAGGCAAAGTCTGATTGGCTCCTCAGCAAATCATGAGACATGGACTATGAGGCAGTGGAGATGGAGAACAGTAATGTGTTATTTGCAAAAGTAGCCTTCATATGTCTGCAGACCTCAATGCTTGTTTTCAATGCCTGAAAATGACATATAATGTAGGGGTGGGGGAAATAATCGATACAGCATAGTATCGCAATACTTTGCGTGGCGATATTGTATCGATACACGGACAGCAATTATCGATATTTGATGATATATAAGATATTCATATTGCAAATCCAAATTATCTTGGCAAAGCTACCTTCAAAATCTGAGCCAGTTCAGAAAATAACTCAATAAAGGCACTCAATACTTCCTGTGCAAAGACCTGCGTCCATACAGCGCTGAGGAAAACAAAGGCTTTCATCACATGTTAAAGACACTATATCAATATATCATGCAATCATATATTTAAGCAATAGCTCACGACAGGCCGTGGTATATGCTCATTATATCACAGCTAAGGGGCGTGGTTCGGCCCGACAACCCCCCTTTTCAGCCCAACTGTATACAGTTAAATCGACCGGACTTCTTTCTGCAGATGTGAGCGTCCTTAACAACGGTCAATAAGTCCTTGCTGCACATTATCCCTTACATGTTTCCATCTTAAAGTGGACCTATCATGCTATATTTGAATAATATAGTGTAGGACCATACCTATATAAGGCATATTTATACTTTTTTTTTTTCAAAATACCAAACAGATCATGCATTTTAGCCATGCCTCATTTCGCTCAATTTGAAAAATGTTAGCTCTGTTTTTGCAAGGGTTGATTATGTGAGAACAGCACCAACTACAGGCCTGGCATATGTACTACAGCGTCTCCAGCGCTTTCGAACGGCAATGGCCGTAGCTGTCTCCTCCTGATTGGTGGAGTTGGCCCAATAGCCGTAGCGCCACTGTCCTGACGTCAGGACAGTGTTCAAATCTGGATCAGTTTTGATCAGATCCGTTGCAGCCCCTTTTTTAGAGATTTGGGTATGGAGGAAAATAGAGAGGGTTGTGTTTTCTGACACTTGGTGAGTTCCCTGGAACACCGGGGACACATATTCATGTATAAAAGACGTACAAAAGTGCATTTTGCATGATAGGTCCCCTTTAAGCTGTGTTAGTTAGTTAGTTTCGTAACGGACGCAATGTAACAGTTGTAACGGTTGTAGCTTTTCTCAGATGCGGAGGGATACTGACTTGTTGTGAAAAGTAACTACAATTCTACCCGTGATATACGCTCATTATATCACGGCTAAGAACCAATCAGATTGCTTGATTTGACTTGTCCGTTTTATAACAATATATATGCGCAATATATCGTATCGCAATACTTAGCATATCGTAGAATTGCAATACTATCGTATCGTGGATTAAGTATCGCGATAGTTTCGTATCGTGGGGAGCCTGGTGATTCCCAGCCCTAATATAATGCCTCTAACAGCTGCTCATATACCATCTTCTTCAGATCTAGCATCATAGTGTACATGCTGGATGTACAATGGATGAAAGCCTTGCACCAGAGGAAGGAAGATGGGACAAGCTTGAATTTCAAACCTTTATTTATCCAGGTGTATCCCATTGAGATCATTGATCTCTTTTTCAAGGGAGACCTGCTCAAGTAGGTTCCACATGAAACATAAAAACATAAACAGAACAACAAAAAGGACATCATACATTAGCATTACAGGGATTACAATTTACATACTATCCACATGCACAGGTACCAACAGCTTCCGATTCAGTAGCATCCAACCGAGCTTTAAAAACATTTAGTGGCACCAGATTGCTCAGTTTCCATTTTAATTGCAGACTATTCCAGGACAGTGGAGCTGCGCATCTAAATGCTATCTTCCCTAAGACAGTCCTAGCAGTTGGCACATTTAATAAAACCACAGCATGCGATCTCAGGCAGTAGCCACTTACAATTCGCCGTGAGATCAGGGAGCAGATGTAGGATGGAAGTTTCCCTAACATGGCTTTGTAGATGAACATGTACGAATGTATGAATGTTATAACCTATAGTCGTACTGTCTAAATGTGCCAGGTTTGGCTTTTTCCTTTATGAAGAAATTGTCAAAATTTGTCTTCATATGTCTGCAGACTCCAATGCTTGTCTTCAATGCCTGTAAATGACATATAATGCCTCTAACAGCTGCTGATATACCATCTTCCACAGCACTACCATCTTACTGTACATGCTGGATGTACAATTAATGAACAGCTCACACCAGAGGAAGGAAGATGGGGCAAAACTTGAATGTTTTAAAGGTCTCCTATCATGCAAAATGCACTTTTTAATGAGAATTAAAAGAATTCTGAGCAGGCACCAGCTAAGGACCCAGAACCTGCAGTTCAGGGCTGAAACAGAGGGATGTGAGGGATGTCTAAAATGCATGATCTGTTTGATATTTTGAGCAAAACACATCATGTTTTTTATATATTTGTATATATCTGATACCCATAATATATGCCTACAAATAGCCTGATAGGAGACCTTTAATA